GWTTARACAAAAGAAGGTGAGAAATTTGGGATAAAATCGCATGCGCAGTGGAATCGATTCTTAAAYTATGAAAAGGCTTATTCCCTAAAGAGGTTTGCAATGGGAAATGTTATTCCATTACATTTACATCTGTCATTATTTTGTAAACTCAAAAACCCATATTTTTAAGTTTTCGAGAATAATAGCTAAATTCTAATTATTGCATTTAGTGGTTAACCAATATTTTCCTGAAATTATGTAATTCTAGGAATTTCTTCGAGAGGCCCGTGTTATGTATGGCTTAAACCACCCATGTATTGTGTCTTTGATTGGCGTTTGTCTTGGACCTCCTCTTATTTTGGTAGGTATCTAATATTTTTTAGTCAAATTTAACCAGGGGTCTGTCATCAATGCTGCATTCTGATTGGATTAGCTACTAGTAGGCTATAAGTTATACCCTACTTGTAGCCAAAAGTGCTTCTGTTTTTGAAAACCAACACATTAAATTTAACTTTAATTCAAATTCAATTGTTTGCGTCTTTATATTAAATATAAATATTCATATCAAATTTTGACYGACTAGTTGGATTTGACCAAAACAATAGTCCCCTTCACAGTTCCATGCGCCATATTGAAAGGTAGCCATGCCTTTGCATCGAAGCGAGATGAACAGTCAGCTTGCAATGATAGAGACATGTGAATAATATTGTCCAAGATGTTAAAAAAGGTGCAAAGGTGCTGCAAGCTCACCATTCATCTCGCTTTGATGCAAAGGCACAGCTACCTTTCAAGATGGCGCAGGGAACTGTGAAAGGGACTATTAGTCCTCTTGCCCTCATGACCTTCGTCAATAGCCCATGAGGCCAAAGGCTGAATAGCCCATTCTGGCTCGAGGACTAATTGCTAAGTAGAAATTGGTATAAACTCCGAGCTCCATGATCACCCTGCCTAAAACTGCTTTGACTTTATTTCACATAGGTTCAAGAACTAGTTGCAATGGGTGCTCTTTTAGACTACTTGATAGACCACCAGTCTGAAATTACCCCTAGGGACCTTAAGCTATGGGCAGCTCAGATAGCATGGGGAATGATGTACCTTGAGAAGAAGCGCTTTGTCCATAGAGATCTGGCAACCAGGAACATACTGATGTCTTCTAAACACCAGGTAGGGCAAAGTGAATTTTTTCTGATTTATTATTATTATTATTATCACAAAGAAATCCTTTTATAGCTCTCAGGATCTAGTATTCATGACTAAAAATGTTGTATTTGTGTTTTGTTTTTCAGTTGAAGATAAGTGATTTTGGTCTGTCCAGGGCTGTAGGATCAGGTAGTGATTACTATAAAGCCTCGCAAGGAGGAAGATGGCCAGTTAAATGGTAATTAACCTCATTAGAATAATACACTTTGTTAGCATGCTGTTGAAATACCAGATTTGTCACCCATTCACCCTTCTCAGGCTATAAATTTACCCATCCATCCATCCACCTCACCATCCAACTGCCCCACCCATTTATCAATCCATCTACCCATCCATCTATTCACCTAACGATCCACCTTTGGCGCCCAACGATCCTCCATCCGTCAGTCCGTCCGTCCGTCAATCCATCCATTCATCCGTCCATCCATTCATTCATCTATTCACCTAACAATCCACCTTTGGCACCCACCCATCTGTCCTTCCGTCCGTCCTTCAGTCCTTCCATCCATCCATCCATCCATCCACCCAAACAACCCACCCACCCAACCATCCACCCTTCTACCTATTCACCTATTCCATGCATCCACCCATTCCTTTATTCATCCTTTTATTCTCCACGCATTTATTCATTTATCCTTCACAAACATTTTTCTTAAACCCATTATCCAGAATTTTATCTTTCCCATAACTGTATCCATCCTATTTCATCCCCTTAAGGTATGCACCAGAGTCTATAAACTATGGTACATTTTCTCACAAGAGTGATGTCTGGAGTTATGGAGTAACGCTCTGGGAAATGTATTCCTTTGGTCAGTTACCATATGGTGAAATGACTGGTGGAGAGGTGGGTATACCCCTTTTCACCTCATACACCCCCTTTACCAAATTATTCTGTGTTTATTATTCAGGGTTCGTGATACTCCTTGAAATCCTTGAAAAGCCCTGGAATTCAAAACCCAATTTTAAGTGCACTTGAAAAGTCCTTGAAAATAGCAAAGTTGCTGGATAATGCTGTCAAAATAGTTCTTGAATTTGTTACAGTTCCTTTCTACTATGATCAGCTACTTTTTTTGACAATTTCTTTTTGTTATTGTGATTGTGACTTTGCACCAAGAGGATCACTTATATGCTATTTTCCATCACGTTAATAATTAATAATATCAAGTTTTCAAAATCTTTTTTTAAATCAAAATTTATATAAAAATCATTAATGATGTGTTAGTTTTTCCTGTAAATCGTTAAGATAAAATTCCCAAGCAAAATTGATCCTTGAAAATTGTAATTTTGGACCTTGAAAAGTCCTTGAAAAGCCCTTGAATTTTGTGGTGAAGATGAAGCACAAATCCTGATTATCGTAAGTTTGCCACGAGGCAGATCTAGGGGAAGTTTACTGGGTGCCTTTGAAACCCCTCTTCCTTCCCATGAACCACTTGAAAACATGGAAAATAGCTTCCCAGATAATGTAAAATTGTAATATTGACATACGAATAATATCCCGTTTCAGGGATCGTGAATCCCCCAGTACTTATTATTATGATACAGTATTATGTCCATCCACTGCTTACATGTATAATAATTTCAAAAAAAAATGTTGTTGGTTGAAGAACTGGAATCTGAAATCTGAGAAATTTGCTAGTACAGGTCACTGCTCTAAGGGAGTAGCATATATTGATTTAACTTGTTGCAAAATTCACAGTTTGCAGCCCACAATTTATTCTTTCTCAGATTTTTTCAGTTTTCATATTTCCAACTGACAATGTTTTTTGAAATGAGTATGTTATGCCCAAAATTACCTTGTTCTAGGTTTAATTTAAATTTTTTGCCTTTTCTTCATCTTTCTAGGTCATTAAATTATTAGAAAATGAAGGCAAAAGGCTTGAGAGGCCAGATGCTTGTCCAGAGCATGTGTACAAATTGATGTTAAGATGTTGGGACCTCAAGCCTGAAAGAAGGCCAACTTTTGAAGAGCTGCATAACACATTCAGTACAGATCCATTATATGCCGATGTTCGTGTGGCAAGAGGCAAACCAAGCTGAATGCATATAATTTAGTTCTTTTTCAAAGTGATATTATTCCTATAATTAGAATTGTAAAAACTGCAGAGAGTTAATGCTACTATCATTTTAATGTCGTAGCTAGCTAAGCTTAGGGTCAAGAGTCAAGGGTCATTTAGTGGTATGGACCTCACCTCCCACTCCTGGGTTAATTTCATTGGGTTCAATACCTGGAGTCCGCCCTGGGGGAGTGTAGGATGGGGGGTTGGGTGTGGTCATCGGAAATTTTCAAAAATACCCCTAAAAGATACCTGAATTCCTTTAAAAAGGGCATAGTTGGGAGTTTTTTTACCCTTAATAGATACCCTAAAAGATAAAGAGAAATGCCAAAATTCTAAATTTCAATTTTATCACCCTAAAAGATACCAAATTGCTAATTATTACCCCTAAGAGATGCTACAAATTTACCCGATATTTTTACCAGGGAGTCAACCCCCTGGGGGCACAGCATGACATGTGAATTGAGTTTGTTGAGACTAGACCACAGACATGCAGAGAATCGATGCATTCTCCCAACAGAGGTTTTGCACCATCACTTGCTGGTGCCCATAATATAGCTTGGATTTTCTTTGGTCAGATTACAGAATGATAAAATCCCTTTGCTCTCAGGAATGGAATTCTTTCTCATGTAAAACAATTGTATTTTTCCTGCCATCTAACATGGCTGCCATCACGTGATGATGCAAAACCTCTATTGGGAGAATGTATTGATTATATACAGATGCATCTTAGGTTCCATAAGGGCATTATAAATCTTAGTTAATCTGGCTGATCTTTCACTTCTCACATATATTAACATGATTTTTACATTTCTGCAGACACATGGCTTGCGTAGTTTCAGAAAAGGGAGAGATTTAGCAGTGACTTGTGAGGCCCGTCACTAGGGGTGCCCCCCCGAACCTATCCAACTTTGTAGGAGTACGAAATAATGTTTAGCACTATTTTAGTTTTTCAAGAGACAGCATAACTAAGATTGGTAGAAACATGAACCTCCCCTTTCAAGGTCCTAGCGACAGGCCTGCTTATGACTTCAAGATTAATGCTCTAGGCCATTCCATTTTTGCTAAATCTCTCTAAATGTCTCTGCCTTCACCACAGGGAAAAATCACAATGGACCATGTTCACTATCTCACAACAGTTGCATAAGGGTAGTAGTGCAGTTTTCGTATGACTGTGAAAAGCTCAGTGCAGTAAGCATGAGGTGCAGTGACTGTGATGCTTTCTTAAATTTTAATTGGCTGATTTTTTTCACACGCAATGTGATTGGTCTGGCATTGCCGTGACCTTGGCGTGACCATGTCCATGCCGTGTTCATACCGTGTTCCTGGTATTTCATTGGATGGAGAGTAAATTCTCGTGCAATGTGATTTGTCTGGCGTATCTCTTGCTGTGTCATGGCCGTGTTCGTGACGTGAATTTTTCACAGTCATACGAAAACTGCACTATGCTACTGCAGCCATCATTAGTTTCAGTCACAGAACCTAGCCCGTGAGGATCTGGGACCGAAACTAATGATGCCTGTGAAGGAAGCTAGTAGTATGCAGTATCATTACTAATGAATCTAACATAATGTTATGTACCCTTTGAGGTAGAAAAAAGAAGTTCCTTGGTTAACAGGGTAGATTAAAAATAGTAATAATTTATAGATAGAATATAATGTCAAGCTTTGGCTATGCTTGAAATCATAATAAGCTGCCAAACAAGTATTTACTGACATTCAGATTTAAAGTAAAAGCTGCTTCAGCTTCAATCACTTAGACTAAGGTCAAAATCAAACTTCATATGAGCCAAACCTAATGACAAAGAAGACCAGGGCTGTCAACTCTCCCGGATAAGCTGGGAGTCTCCAGATTTTGGACTGTATCTCCCGGTCTCCAGATTAGAGTATCAAATCTCCTGGATAATCCCTGAAGCTGACCATTTCTTGTCTTGTGAGACTAGACTTTCACAACCATAAAATTCCAATTATTTTATGTTGTTTGTGTTGTTTTACATCGCTAACAAAATCAAAACGTTCCTCATAAACTGTTCTTGCAAGCAGGCCATTGTAATRTAAGMGAWAATCTGATTGGTCAGAAATAAACCAATCACATCAAATGTTACAAAGCGAAAGGCGTCTTTTCGCGCGCTTTTTGACGCGCTGTGACGTCATATCCCTTCCCTATCAATTCTCCAGATTTGAATATCTCGGGGTTGACAGCCCTGGAAGACAACTGTAGTACGGCTCGTGAAGTTTCACGTTTGACCTTATTCATTCTAGGTAATATTCATTCATAATTTAAGGTCAATCTTGGGCCTTGTTTGAGTCAGAGCTGTGAATCCAAAAGCTTGAAAGATTTTCCTCTTTTGTCAAAATTACAAAAATCCCAGAAAAGGATGTAGAAATAATTGTAAAGCCAGTAAAAAGTGATTATATATTTTAGTATTTTCATGTCATGGTTTTTCTTTCCATTTATATAGACCCTTTTGAAATGCCTTTCCTCATTTGATGTCAAATTTATTCTTTTGAAATTWAAAAAAAAAAAGAAATTATTTGATGTCAAATGCAGGAAATAGAGCATCGAGGGATTTATTAAGGCCTATCATCATTATCATCATCATCATTATCATCATTGTGCCTGTGTGGCGTGTAGTGCCAACACCAAGGACTTCAATTAAGGGCCTATAGGTGATACATATTTTTGTTCTGCAGAAAATATATGCTCATAGAGCGCATGCAGTAAAACCATGAAATAAAAACAAAATTGATACTGACAAATAGTATCTATTTAGTGACTGATAGTTGCTAGCACTCAACCAGAACATTCATTACACAAAAGACACAAATGGTCTGTTGTGTATTTGTCTTTGTATGATGAATGTTCTGGTTGAGTGATAGCAACTATTAGTCACTAAATAGATACTATTTGTCAGTATCAACTTTGTTTTTATTTCATGGTTTTACTGCATGCGCTCTACCTGTTGCAGGGTCATTTTTTAAAAATGCAACTATGAGTCAGGGAAAATAGAAATTTWAAAAAATGATTTCTCTCCTATGAAATGTAGGCAGTGGGAATAAAAAATCAAATTCTTCCAATCAAAGTTTTTTGACTGGGCTTCCTGTGTGTTCTGTAGAGTCATTCCAAACACTGCATTGCGCTATACTAACTTCAAAGAATTAATTTCTGTTTACGAATTTAAAACTTTCACTGCCGTGTTTGTTATTTTAATCCCTAATTTTATTTATTTATTACTAAAACTGAATTATTGTTAGCGACAAGTGTCACACTACCCTTCCCCTGAGGGTAGATATATGTTATGTGGGAGCGCAGTGGATGATGATCAGTCATACCTGAGTCTCTCTTCATCTTCCATCATGGCTTCGGCCAAAAAGAAACAAGACGAAAAGAACCTTAAAATACTCCGAGAACTCGCCTCTCAGCCCCACAACAAGAAATGCTTCGACTGTGGTCAAAGAGGTCCTACATATGTGAATATGACTATTGGATCTTTCGTTTGTACAGCGTGTAGTGGAATTTTGTGAGTCTAGTTCGTTACCTTCCTTCGATTTTCTTAGCTTGTTTGAGCCATTTTACTAAAGTTTTCTTCCTCCCTTCTCCCCCAGACGCGGTTTAAATCCACCTCAGAGAGTAAAGTCCATATCTATGACCAGTTTTACCCCTCAAGAAATAGAATTTTTGCAAGGAGCGGGAAACGAGGTGAGTGGATTTGAAAACGTCCAATTCTTCGAGTCTGACTTCGAAGTGCATTGGTCTGCATGAAACTGCATTGAAAATACAGTATTTTAACACTTAATACGGCTCGATTAAAACTTAGAATTATGGCTTTGGGATGAAAGGAAGCAACTGGCTTTGCTGTTTGTGATATCATTGGTTTAAAAGTGGTAGTAAAGTTAAAGATATCGTAGACTGTCATGTTTACCGGCCTCCAAGACGGTCTCCATTTTTACCCGTCTCTACTTCCACTACCAATGATTACCCTTAAAATCCTCCTTTTCATAATATTTATGCAGTACTTTAAGCCTGAAACTAGAGTTTAATCTTCCATATTAAGGCCCGAGGGTTTGAACTCGATCTTTGAGGCATATTTTTATTCGTACATAGCCGAGTGTTAAGACAAAGTCAAAAGCAACTCGCGTCAAAACCAATTTGATTCACTGATAATTTACCAAATATTAATAGGATAAAAACGTATTTTTATACATCATCATCATTTCTCATCATTTTTATCATGTACATAAATTATCTTTATCGAAAACTCTAACTTTTCAGTGTGATTTTGGAATGATTTGTTTGCTATTCAAATTGTACAAGTTCCCTCTTTCAACCTAACTCTTGATCTTTTCAATGCTTTTGATATATTTTCTCCTGCTAACACAATCTTTTCCCTACTCAATATCATAACGCCGGAACTAGTTATGATATAAACTAAGGGTATTCGTTCTTATATTGTATCCTATCCCTGTGGGCTTGACAAAACGAAAATAACATGGCATTAGGCATTTCTTATGCATTCCTTTTTTATCTTAAAATTAAGTAAAATCGCACATCTCTTTTCTTTAGCACTTATTTAGTCACAAACGTGCCAAATTATATTTGAATTCAGGATCCATTCATACTAAATTACCTCAATATTCAATTAACTATGTACAATTTATGTTTAGAATATGTTCTGATGTAAACAGGTCTTTTAGTACAACATGAATTGAAATTTTGTAACTCTGGAAAGCCTTATGAATATTCCATCAGATTTTTACCAACTACCAGCTTATTTATACCTCAAATGCATCCCCACACTTCAGTGGGATAAATATGAATTCAATCCCTTGAAATTAGATACTGAAGTAGATCAGATTTGTGCTTTTCCTGCAGGGGCACACCTCCTGAATGATAAGAACAGCATAGTTTTTAACAAAAGGATAAGCTTGAACAATCCATCTCTTTGGCAGATGGTACCTCATTTATTCATATTTGCAGTAAGAAATGGCAAGCAAATATGTCACATGATCTTATTAACCTACCTATTTTGAAATTTTGAAAACAATTTCTAATCTAACAGAATTGTTTCAAACTTGGTTGAAAGAGCTTTTCTAACTATTTTGCAAAAAATATTTTCGTTATTTTTTTATGGATCTTTCTCATGCAGCAGCAGTGGGAAACTTTTTTCCCCAGCGTAGCCTTGCAGTCACATGCTTTAGAATGAGGTTATGCAGCATGGTTTAAACAAATGGGAATAAACATGGCTCTTTGTGATTGAGGTCCATTGTCTACAATGAAAGTTGACCTTCCCTGTCACCATTCTTTCCCCTCTATAAGTCCATAGGAAACCCAGTACTAAACTTAATTGTCATGTAATATATTCCAGATGTGTAAAAAGACTTGGCTAGGCTTATGGAACTCTGCAAACTCTCCAGAACCAGAATCTAGAGATGAGCAAAAAGTTAAAGACTTTATGATTCAAAAATATGAGAGACGGAGATGGTATATCCCTCCTCAGCAAGTTAGTGCATCCTCTACTTCTAGCAGTAACTCTGTTCCAGAGGCTAAGCCACTCAAGCAACTCTTAGGAAAAGATACACCTACAGTACAAGTAAGTAAACAAGTTTGCAGACTATAATGAATCCTTCAATCAAACCATTCCCCACTAGCAAAACCTTTCATGCTAAATTCCAATATTAATAATATTGTGAGTTAAACGTTTCCTGGCTTAACTCAGCCCAGAGGTTGTTTCAGTTTTTGATCTGTGAGTTGACCATGCCCTGACTTAGATCAGTCCAGAGGTTGTTTCAGGTTTTGATCTGTGAATTGACCATGCCCTGACTTAGATCAGTCCAGAGGTTGTTTCAGGTTTTGATCTGTGAATTGACCATGCCCTGACTTAGATCAACCCAGTATGTTGCTTCAGGGTTCAATCTGTGAGTTAGCCATGCCCTGACTTAGATCAGCCCAGAGGTTGTTTCAGGGTTCACTCTGTGAGTTAGCCATGCTCTGACTTAGATCAGCTCACAGGTGGTTTCAGGGTTCGATCTGTGAGTTGGCCGTGCCCTGACTTAGATCAGCCCAGAGGTTGTTTTAGGGTATTGATAATAATTGAATGTCTTTTTTTTTAACATGGCTGCCATGAAACCATTCTATACTTCATTTGCAGAGTTCATCTCCAGTACAGAATACCACCAGAGAAAGACCTCGTACAGTTAGTCAGTCAAGTCTACCTGCTCCTGTCCCTGCCCCTGCCCCTGTCTCATCAGGAGTTAGTGAATCTCAGCCTGCTCAAAAACCTGCTACATCATTTGATTTATTGTCTGACCTTGGAGGGGACCCTTTTGCTCAACCAAGCCAACAATCTCAAGGTAATATGACCATTGAAGCATATTTTTGATTTCATATTATTGCTGTACTTGACATGTGAGTAGACTTTTTTTAGGTCTTTTCTTTGTTTTGAATGTTGTTGGTCTTTTCAATGCTAAATTCAAATTCAAGGAAAACCAGAGAACAAAGAGAATAATCCTTGAATCAAGGGAGACAACCCAACAAACGCTATTCACTTGTGATGTCAAGTCAGCAAACAGGGTATAACTTTATTTAGTATTGTGAAACAATCAGAAATTTTAATGCCATTATTCAACTTGCAGGTTTCGGTGCATTTGGTTCACAACCCCAACAACAAGCTCAACAGTCTGTCGGCATTCCTGGTTTTGATGCATTTAATCAACCCCCTTCCCAACCTGCATCACAGGCACCCTTTGATCCTTTCGGCTCATCACAACCAGCACAACCTATGCAGTCAGGGTTTGCAAATTTTGGTCAGCCTCCACAGCAACCTCAGACACAGCCACTTCAACAGCAGTCAAATAGCTTTGATGCTTTTGGTGCATTTGCCTCACCAGTGTCTTCAGGTATTGAATTTACATTTATATAATCCTATTTTATTTATGGAAAGGGCATGGGTGAGGTTTGCTGGCGATATGGTTATCAATTAGACAACAGAAAGTTGCGCTACGGCTTGTGACACTCTTAACGCTTGTTAATCATTCTTTAAACTTTTTCTTATGCGTCTATAATGCAGTGGGCGAGCGATATGTTGTCTAATTGATTTATAATATAGCTAAATTCAAGAAAATATGAACCGTGCAGCCCATGGGGAAATAGTTCATAGGTTTTCAACCAATCAGAGCGCGCACTATATCACGCATCTCACTCGTGCGCTCGCTATTGACGCCATCTAGCTATATCATAAATAGCGATATGCATGGGTCGTATTACGTAGTGGTATCAGTGGTGGTGGTATAGTGGTATGGGTAGTGGTAGTGGTATAGTTAATGTTATTGGTGGAGTGTGCTATAGATGGGTTGTGTTATCCATAGATGGTGGTATGAGTGGTAGTAGGTCATGGAATGAGTGGTGGTATAGTGGTATGGGTAGTGGTAGTAGTAGTGATTTAGTAAATGTTATTGGGAAGTGTGGGTGTGGATATGTTGTGATATCCATAGATGGTGGTTTGATTAATGTTAGTATGTTGTGGTAGTCCTGTGAGTGGGGTGGTACAGTGGCATGGGTGGTGGTATGGATAGCAGTGTAGGTAGTGGTGCTGTGGTGGTGTTGGTGCTTCTGTCTATGGTGGTATCAGTACCATTATGGAATTAGCTTGCAATAACAGATAATATTTTTCATTCACAGGGCCTGCTTCCCAGAGTACAGGAGCAGGCTTTGGACCCATGGTATCTGCGACATCTTCAGCTAGCATGCCCTCCTCAAACCCACCACAGCATGCAGGTGATAAATATGCAGCATTAAGTGCCCTTGACAGTTTGTTTGGCCCTACCCCAGCTGTCAGTTCTAGTGCTAGTCACACCAGCACATCAAGTAGTGGTACATCTGTTTTTGGCAGTAGTAGTGGTACATCTGTTTTCAGCAGTGGTAGTGGTGCATCATTAGGAATGTCTTCAGGTCCAAACCCATTTGTCAGTGGAGGGCATCAGCCAAGCCAACCTGCCTCACATAATGCAAATCCATTCCAGGGACTCGGTAATGTTGGTGGATCAGGAGGGGGGTTTGCACAGATGAATGGACCAGGCAGAAGTTTAAGTCCCCCCAGCAGTACTTCAACAGGGATTACATCCAGCGCTGGCTTTGGCAGCTTTAGCAGTGCTCAGCCCTCCAGTACTTCATTTGGTCAGCCAGCAGCACAGCAACCCCAAGCAATGTCAGGCTGGGGCGGCATGGGAGGACAGCATGCTATGGGCGTGCCTGCTAGTAGTGCAAGTCAGAACCTCAGTTTTGGTGGAGCTGGTGCAACAGTAATGGCTGCAAACCAGTTTAATAAGATGCCAAACCAGCCAAACCCAATGGGTGGCCAGGCAGGTGGGTTTGGAGGTGGTCACAGCATGCAGGGTGGATTTGGAATTACACCAATGGGTGGAGCTAGAATGGGTACACCCACCTCATCAGCTGGATTTGGTCAGTGGGGTCAAAGCAGCTCATTTGGAATGCAAGGGGGAGGACACAGTAGCCAAATGGATGGTTATGGTGGTGGTCAAAGTGGTGGATTTGGAGGACAGCATTCAGGTTATGGAGGACAACAACAAAGTGGTTTTGGGGCTCAACAAGGTGGCTTTGGTGCTCACCAAGGTCAATTTGGAGGCCAACAGCAAGCAGGATTTCATGGTCAAGGAGCAGCTGGTAGTGGTGGGGGGTATGGTGGGCAGACAGGGGGCTTTGGTGGTGGTGGTGGAATGATGGGAGGGCAGTTTGGACAACCTCAACCACAGCAGCAGCAGCAGCAGTTTGGTGGATGGGGACAACCAAGCTCACAACCAAACCCATTTATGGTAAGTAATTAAAGGTGTGATAATACCTGAAGAAGGTTGCATTAGCATTAGTAGAATCATACAATCTGCCGTCACAACAAAAAAGGATTTCCATAATGTCAATCAAAGTGTTTCACTGACATTTTTTTGGAAATACGAAATATTCACGGGCAGGTGGAATGTAGAAACGCGCCTTGATTGACATCCACCAAAACCTACATTATTGGCTGAGAATTCGGTATCGATGATTCCCTATCAGTGATTCCATATTGAAGATTCCGTTCCACAAGAACAACTGTAAAGTAAAGATTTTTGCATTTTATATCTTTCAGGGTGGTGGAGGCCAGCCACAAATGCAGCAACAGTCTACCAACCCCTTCATGTAACAACAAATGATCTACAATCAGGAAAACAGAAATTAGGCATTGAAATGATGGGCAGAAGATAATAGAGCTAAGTCAGGAGATGAGATGAGAGGGAGAGAGAGAGAGAGGAGAGAGATGTGATTATATGATGACTGAATGGAATGGATGTATAGTTCAGAAATCATGATTGACAGTAAATGTGATTAACATAACGACATCGTTGTACAGGACAATACCCAGAGAAAATGTGCCATCTTGTAAGATATACAATTCAATCATTTAGTAGTTCTAAAAAACGATGTTGTTGGTAGAGTAAATTTTTTATGGCTGTAAAAATTGTATTGCACTAAAATACCAATTAAAATTATGTAATGCTATGTACTGCGTTGCCGAAGTATAATGACTGGTTTGTAATTGGTTTGCAATTTCATTGAGTTTACACTTCAGAAGCTCATTTGTCAACATTTTTTGCAGTCATAAATTTTTTTCCAAGCACTCGCTGTAATACTCGAAGTTGGTGGGAGTTTGGCAGCTTTATTGCTATGCAATTATACCTTCATAAAGAGGAAAATGATCAAACGAAAAATATATATCTGTGCTTTTGTTTCAATTTGCCAATAGCAGATATTATGGATGCATGCAATTGAGATGCAAATGACACAGCGAGCATTGTATCGACCCATAGCCTCACTTGTATGATTCTTAAACAAATGAATATCTCATTGCGGACTCAACTGTAATAACAGCTATTGAGCATGCCTTAACTGCTACATGTAGAGATGAACAACAAATCAGGGGATGGATAATTTTTTGAATTTGTTTCTTAAAATTGCACAAAATTAGCCTGTGTTGCCAGAGGTCTGCAGTTACTTTTTTTTTTCCAAAAAAAATCCAGACTGCCGGCAAAGCATGCTAGCACAAAATTTGCAGACTCTTACCATTTTCATAATCAAGCAAGCGAAATAAATTATCTTTTTTTTAAATCAAAAGTTACATTTCAATGAGCTACAACAAACATGAATGTATGGCTCACATGTTTATCAGGTGGTTGTGGCATGTTGGAATGTAGTTGTGCTTATTATTGATTGGCTAATTTAGCTCTGTTTTGAAAGTTCATGTCACTTTGACTGTAAATGAATAATTCTTTTAGAAAATGAGCTTTGATTTATTCTGCCTTTTTTGTAGTAATTTAGTGACAAAACTTTGGTAATTTTCAGAAATTATGAGAAACGTTTCAAAACAAAAAAATTTCCATTCCCCTAAGAAGGAAAAAATCATTTAAACCTTGGTATCTTATTCAACTAGAAAAAATACTAAGTTATAGGAGATACCATTATGATGTATTTAGTCTTTCAAAATTTGTTTAGAAATATGAATTTCATTATTAGGATAAGAACTGGATGTTAACCAAGGAATCTACTGATGTGATCAAGTATGGAATAATTTAGCTATTTTGTGGTAAAAAATTATTAATAGTTTGTTTTATGGTTGTGAAACCAAGATTTATCCCAGACTCATTCATTTAGGAAATACAGGGCCTCCATATTTTAGACCACGTCATTCCCTTGAAAATAAGATTTTTTTAAATTTGATTTAAGATTTTTTTGTTTGAGTTGTATCCATATTCATGTGTCTTCTCATGTGCAACTGAGCACAACCATTAAACAAAGAAATACTCTTGGAATGACATGTGGTCTGAAATGGGAAAACATTATACCCAAGCGCGCCCAAGCCAGGAAGGTCTATAAAGGGCAAAAATAGAGCTTAATGAAGAAGTGCAATGTGTTTAGACATCAATTTTTCAGACATTTTTTCTTCAACTTTGATTTTATTATGCACGGAAGTAGTTGAACAGGCAGAATATTTTTCTATTAATACATTAGGCAGTTCTGATTCACTTGCACTAAGAGTTATAGATATTTGCTTTGCAAAATATGTAATTGGTCACAGGGGAGGGGAGAGAGGGACAAAAATGAAGCATCCGTTTCAACATCATGTAGCTTATTACAGCTATGAATGTTTCACCTCTGTGCTCTAGAGAAGGTGAACAGAATTTCATTCTCTTCCCAATATTTCATCCTTTTCTCCATTTAACCTGTGACAATTTCTTGAGTTTCACTTCTCCAAATATTCCCATGATTGATTATTGATATCAATGTGCATAGGGAGTCCACGTGGCTCCCTAAGTTAACTCTGCACACTGTTAAATAAACAACTGTATTGGCTGGCTGTGCTACCTATCAATATAACTATCTTTTAGAACAGTTGTTTCATATTTCTTTTTGTAGTAATATTTCATTTCCATAGGGGCTAACTTAACCAATATTTTAAAAGCAAATCGAAATACTCAATCCATTCATTTCAATTTGTGTAGAATTAATATAAGATCACAGTATCCAGCAATTTCCATTGCATGCAGTCTTAGAAAATTAGCCAATCAGCAAGCATTTTGTCAAGTTTCACTCAAAAGTAAAGGAAATAATGTCATCTGAAAATATATTTTGCCAAAGGTCTACAAATTACATGTTCTTTCATTTTTGGTGAAAAATATTTTGCTTTTATAACCGATATAAATTCTTAGGAAAGTTTAGATTTGAAAAACTTAGTAGTTTGTGCCTAAACTATCCCTGCGTCTAAGAATTGGAATTGCTTGGATATGCAAACTTGATTACATCATAATTTAAAGTAGTATTAATGAAATGGCAAATATATTTTTTGCATTGTAAACATCATCCATATGATAATAAAAGGTATGCCTTGGAAGGCAGTTTCATTTCAATGTTTGTTCGAATGTTTTTAATTTAGGCAATATTGATGGGGGGGGGGGGGGGGGGAATCAAGCCTGTTGTGGCCATAGTGCACTCTCACCTCTTATTTCTGTGGTCTCTGGTTTACTTCCAAGACTTTGCACCTAAGGCCAATGGCTAGCCTGCATAGCAGCACTTCCAGTCCACCTCCCTCCCTTCTCCCCTCCTTCTTCCCCTTCCCCTTCTTATCAGGTCAGGTGAAATGTTTTCCCATCCTTAGGCTGCATTCATAATGTATGGCAGGGGGGGGGGGGGGGGGGGAAAATGGGGGGGATCGGGAAAATTTTGGTAGGAAAAAGGGGGGATGGGCAAATTTTTATCAGAAAAATGGGGGGGAGCACATTGTTGGAAGAAGCTACAAGCCTTGCTTAGGGGGGATCATATTTTTTTGCATGACTTTAAGGGGGGTGTTTAGAATTATTCTGGACATTTCAAATTTTCACCTGCCCCCCCTTTGCCATACATTATGTATGCAGCCTTATACAGCCATGTGTCATTTCCTTGAGTAACATTTCTTTGAGGCCACTTAATTTTGACTTTATGTCCTGAGTAGGGGAAATTTTGGCTACATTCCATCCTCATCTCCACTATTTCTTCCACCCATCTTTCACTTACCCTCCCCTCCCATCCTATCCCTTTAGTTCCACAGGAAGACCAACAACAAACAAAAATTGAGTTTTACATAAAAAGCACTAAAAGCTGAAAGAAGAAACCAAAAAGTTTCTTTCTTCGCGCTTTTGGTCAACCAATCTACATCAGTTATTTTATACGTTCATATTTGTTTTTCCTGTGTTTTCTATTTTGGTAAGTCATTCCGGATATGAGCTGTTCAAATTCCTCAGCATTGAAGCATGAAACTCTGAAATATTATTTGAAGCTCACTCCGCCCACAAAAGTATCCTGCTCTTCTCGTAAAAATAATTGCCTTTCAAATCCAATGAACTCTTCATAACTTCGCATAGAGAGACCTCATTACCCGTAACGAAAAAGAACAGTTTTTAAGTGATGGAAGGACGAGTTCAACGGTTACAAAAATGGTTTCTATCTTTAGGTTTACTCAACGGTGAAGAACATGGCAAAAATGTCGAAAAAATGTTCGTGGAAACTCTCCTTAACGGTGTTGTACTGTGTCAGCTAATCAACAAGTTGAACCCTGGAGTCATTGAGAAGGTGCCAGTGCATTGTTCTGTGTGAAAAACATGAGAAGCATTTATATTCTGATGTAAATGATCAACCCATTTGATCTGGTTGTCAAATTTGGTCTTTCGGTTTCTTTGAGTTTAGATTCACGAGCCGCCAACAACTGAGCAAGAACGGTTTGCCAACCTCGAGGCCTTTTTGAGAGCCTGCCAAGAAATTGGAGTAAAATCCGAAGAGGTTTGTCAGTCATTGAGTTAATGTGGCATTATGCTTATTTATAATAAACATAATCTTAGGACATTAATATTTCATGAGCTCCATTGAGCAGACTCCGACTAATCTTCCACTGACTCGACACAAATCTCCAAGTTTTCTCGTTATGTTTCGTTAGGTTTTTGCTGTAAATGACCTGGAAAGCGAAGGAGGATATGAAAAAGTGCTACGGACTCTCGAAAGCTTAGAAAGTATATCAAATGGTAAGAAAACATAGTTTAAATGTCGTGTCCTTTGTAAAATGAGGTGAGGATACGAGCGGCCATGTCGAAGTGGAACCCACTCCGTACAGGAATGTCAAAACTCGACTTTTTTAATGAAAAATAACTTCATTTGGAAGTAAAGAATGACATTATGAAAAGCTGAAAGCTCAGTTTATTTAAATAAGCTAAATTTCCGGTGTTTTGTCCTTAAATAAGGCTGTTTTATACTTGGTTTTTGTGTGAGCCTTTCGCTTGTGATCATATTAACTTTTGTTCGAGTTGAGTCGAAAATTACGTCAAAAGATTGTATCTGGACTTTGAAATTACTTATTCTCGTAAATCTTTACTCTCCTTGGAATCAGATAACTTAGTATTAAGTTGTTTTAAATGTTAGATGTGTATTCACAAGCTTTGCAAAGGCTTGGTAGGGATTAAACAGCCTTATATTTGTAGGAGATTTTAATATTGGTCAAATCTCTTTGATCAGTACCACTCAGTATTAAATAAGAGAAAAAAATTGGAAGTATTCTGCGTATTTGAGATTTATCTTTTCACGAGCACAGCACTCGAATTCGATCAATATAATTCATCAAAACTGTGAAGAATTGATCTGATCCAGTGAATTTGTCCACCTATGTTTTGATTTAACCCGGAACTAAACGCATGAAATAATGGCCAAAATTATGTCAAATTAAATTTGTAATTTTGAAGCAATTTTTGAAATCTTTAAACAGAATTGGAGACTCATAAGATATCATTTTACAGTGTGGTCCAAAATGTCATAAATTTATTTAAAGAGATGTCTAATTATGACAAAAAAATTGACACCAAGTATTGAATCATAAAAGATGAGATTCTCTCAGTCATGACGAACATATTAGCATTTGATTGACAAGTGTCAATTCCTTGATTCAGTAAAAACTGAAAGTAATTGAAGAAAATGTACAATGCATCCTTAAAGCAGCTTACTGTTTCAGTATCATTGGTCTCTTGTTATCTTGTGAAGATTATTTAAGATTTCCTTTACAAGGATGATCACATATCATGGAATTTTTGGTCGTTCATTGTAAATCGTAATTAAGATCTTTTCCATCGAAGAAGCATGCTGAAAAAACTTTGTAAATCCCTTGCTTCACATGGCAAGTATAAGTCTCTCAATATTCCTTTTACATACCCATTTATCTATAATATTGCATAGAGTTTCTAAAGCAACTGCTGGTAAGGTCGGATATTGTTTATTGTTTTATTAATATAAAAATGTTTTCGAAAAATATCAGAGCTAAAGATAAATAGAAGATTATTCAATGTGTTGTAATTAGTGCAAGAACAGTCCCTTGTATTTAAAATAAGATAAGAACAAAAATTCTTCATAGCCATTTCCTTAACACCATACCAGCGAATGTTCATTTTCTTTCTGTTTCATTTCATTTTTTTAAGTTTTTTTGAAAATAAAACCAATTCAAGATACTCAATAGATTCTTTCTTTTTCCAAGTGATAAATTCAAAATTGTTCTATTATGATTTTAAGATAGTTTAAAGAATTATGTTTTGAAGAATTTGAATTTATGATCAACATTTTTTAAGGTCTTGTTTGTTGCCTTGAGCACTTTACACTTTCTTCAGGCTAGTAACTCTCTATATAATACATGTAGATATATTCAAGTCGTAATTCAAATGCCTTAATTACTTGCCACATGTGAGTCAGACTTAGACAAACGAAAGTATCTCCTAAAAATCCCGTTTTGTCTGCTTTATTCTAATCTCTGTAATTGATACGCATCTTTGCTTTTAAAACATGTGATACAAAGAACACATGTTGTCTATGGATTCAGGTGGTAGGCAGTATCATAGATAAAAGTTAGATAATACTGTATCAAGCTTAATGCTGCTATCCCATTTTTCTCAATTTCATAATATTATTTTAAGATTGCCTTTGTGGATAGAATAAAAAAAAAATTCCTTTGAACAAACTGATCGATATAATCTAAGTTTTCAATATTTCGTGCAAATCTTGATAGATGTTTACTTAGTATTATATCCTTATAACAAGCCACTGTCTCACCTCCTAAGCTAAAAGTCTTTAAATTGTTGTGTTCAATTCTAAAGGAATTAAAATTTGTTGTCATGCTAAGAAAAATCAAAACTATGAGAGACAAAATTCATTATTGGATGCTGTTAATCCATACTGTAAATTTATAAAATTTATTAATTGTATTTAGCTCAATTTTTATTCAACACCAAGAACCAATATGCATATATCACTGTTATGTACGCTAGCAAAAATAATGTACCGTACATTAGGGAAGGTGAGGGTTTTTCATTTGAAATCATGATCACAATTCTTTTTAATTTTTGTGATCGGTAATGAGCAAAACTTATTTTCTGGATTCATTATTCTAACATGTTCTAAAATTTGTGAAATTTGGACGTTTAATATTAATTTTTGTGAACAGTGATCATCCTTTTCTAATTATCATGAAATGTGCAGAGAACCCCCTACCCCCCCCCCCCCCCCCCCCCCCCCGATATATAGTACTAAGGAATACTAATTTTCAGTGGTTACTTATTTGACAGGTCATGGTTTTGCTACCAACACATCCAGGCCACCACCATTGCCAACACAAATAGACGGCGATAACACAGGAGAGAACAGTATAGCACAAATTGCAGAGAAAAAAGTAAGTAAAGATTGTCTTTTATTCATAAGTTTCTTTTATTTGTCATGTCAGTTTCTTTACAGGTTGGTTCGTTACATGTGTATGATATGGTCATTTTGGTACATGTCTGTATTCAAGTCATGTTTTGGACAGTAACTAGTTGTTTCATTACATGTCAGTTTCATTACAGTTCGGTTTGCTACATGTGTATAGTTAATTCGTTACATTTTTATGGTCGTTTTGGTACATACATATCTATATTCAAGTCACATGCATGTAATGAATCGAACTAAATACCATGTAACGAAACAAACTGACATGTAATGAAATGACTGGTATTCATTTCGGAGAAGTACAGCAATAGTACACTAGGCTCCCACCTCTGGGGTCTAAGGTTTGATTCTTGGAATCATTGTCGCATGTGAGTAGAGTTTGTTTCGTCTCTCCAAGATACCATGGTTTTTATCTGGGTTGTCCAGTTTTCTGTTGCAAAAACTCATCAGCTAAATTCCAATATTGATCTGTGAGTATAAGCTATGCCCTGATCAGTCCAAAGTTTGTTTTAGGGTTCGATCTGTGAGTAAGCTATGCCCTGATCAGCCCAAAGTTTAATTGTTTTAGGGTTTGTTTAGCTTTTAAATATATTACTTGAATCAATCTAAATGGCACTATATATTTTAAACCAAAAATAAAAATGTAATAATAATGAAATTTTAACAGAGACCAATCCCATATCTCCTAACAGTTTATCAATGAGATTGAGCAATTTTTTGAGATCGGTTTGAAGTAGAAATCAATAAATGGGAATAAATGGGAATAAATGGGAATTTAAATGAATATTAAATAAAATACAAAGTAATACTTAACTGCAAATCTTGTTAAAGCTTCTGCATTAATTAATTCTAACTTTCAGGGATATGTTTTGCATGACTCGCAGGCAAGCTGGAAATCATGTTACCATTCAGAAAAATGTTAGTTAATAATATCATTTAACACCTCTATTAAACATGATAATAATTTGTGTGTATGAAAGAAATGTGTGCGGAGACAGAAAACCCAGAAAACGTTTGTGTGCTATACATGTTTAAATATTCATTAAAACAAAGTTAATATACCAAAGGAACTTCTAATTTGATCTGAGAATTTGCTGGGCTTTGACTTTGATCAGCCCAGAGGCTGTTTTAGGGTTCAATCTGTAATATAGCTGTACCCTGACTAAGATCAGCCCAGAGGTTGTTTCAGGGTTTGATCTGTGAGTTAGTCATGCCCTGACTAAGATCAGCCCAGAGGTTATTTCAGGGTTCAATCTGTAAGTTAACAATGCCCTGACTTAGATCAGCCCAGAGGTTGTTTCAGGGTTCAATCTGTAAGTTAACAATGCCCTGACTAAGATCAGCCCAGAGGTTATTTCAGGGTTCGATCTGTAAGTTAACAATGCCCTGACTAAGATCAGCCCAGAGGTTATTTCAGGGTTCGATCTGTGAGTTGACCATGCCCTGACTTAGATCAGCCCAGAGGTTATTTCAGGGTTCGATCTGTAAGTTAACAATGCCCTGACTAAGATCAGCCCAGAGGTTATTTCAGGGTTCCATAAAATTTTAAAATTTGAAGTTCTGTTATGGTAATGTAAGTAAARCCTTAATCAACTATTATACATAATAACTTGACTTTTATTGAATTTAGAATATTGTCATATTGAGTAAAATTTAAAAAGAAAAGACAAAAAAACAGATAATAATAAAATGATAAAAATAATATGTTTATTGTGAAATGTGGCAATCGTCCAGGTGAGTGTAGTCTTGAGAAAGACTGTTGTTGGTAGTGACTGACGTTTGACTGACGTTTCAACTACCTAAGCGGAAGTCATATTCAGAGTCCAGTGATAGAACGTTTTCTCTCTCATTTTCTCACTGGACTCTGAAGATGACTTGCACTCAGGTTGTCGAAACGTCAGTCACCACCAACAACAGTCTTTCTCAAGACTACACTCACCTGGACCATTACACTTCGCAACAAACTGTCAGCCACCACCAACAACAGTCTTTCTCAAGACTATACTCACCTGGATGATCACATTTCACACCAAACTTCTACACGTGGGTTCAAACCATTTACTCTTGATGATGATATGGGTTTAATGTTTTCCTCTTCCATACTGCTCAAGTATGACTTTCTTTGGTTTAATCATAACCATGATAATTTATTACCCAAAGACATTAGAAATTATTACACTAGAGAGAATGAAATGTAATCTAAAATAGGAAAACATCAAGCCCAAAGTAAAGGAGTAAATCATAACACTAAATAATATGTCGACGAAATTATTGAAATGTCAAGTATTTGCTAACTAATAATGAATAAACTCATTTCTATCAAATATAACATTACCGCTAATATTATTTTTGCCTGTGGTTGTTGAAGGAGATGACAGATTATGGTGGTGGTGTACGCCTTGTTAAGGCAACTTTCCCATTTCAAGGGACTGATGATGATGAGGTAATTAATTATCCACCCACTCATCTATTAATCTATACATTTACCTATTCATCAAATAACCTATCCATTCACCCATTGATCCATTCTATCTACCCATCAAATCATCTATCAATTCAACTAGTACTGTTCTCCCACCCAGAACTAGTTTCAACTTTCTTAATATTTTCCTTTCAGATCTGTTTCGTAAAAGGAGACATTCTAGAAGTAACAAAGGTATGCTCTTCAACATTTAGTACCATATTTCCTTCATATTATTATAGATTTTGCCGTTACATGAATCACAGATCTTACCTCATCCTATCATCAGTTTGTTAATGTTAATACTCGACTGTATATCTTCAAGGTTGTAACTGATATTATGTTAATTAATTCAGGTCGTTGATGGTGGATGGTGGGAAGGGACTATCAATGGCAAATATGGTTGGTTTCCAAGTAATTACGTCCAGGAAATCTCTTCAAGTAAGTTTGCTTCTCTTTGCTTTTTGCTTGATTCTTTTCTTTAATTGTGTAGTTCCAGAAATCCATACCCACCCCACAGAGGAATTTGGAATTTCCACAGAGTAGAGGGGTCAGAGAAAGAACAAAAATTACAGAGTTTGTATGGAAGAAAATTGGAATTTCCAGGGGGTAGGGGGGTGTCTTAAAAAAATGTGACTAGCTAAAAACTAGTGTGAGCTSCGTCGGTGTTTCTAATGAAACAGTAATGATAAAAAGGTAAATTATACACTGTGAAAAAGACGAAAAACTGACATTTCGGACGCTAAGTCCTTCGTCGGAGTAAAAGAGGGGGTATGGATAATTTATACATTTGAATTTTAAACTATACATTTGAATTTTTTTCTCTGTTTTTTTTTTCCCCTTCTCAAATTTAACTTCTAAATTCTCAGTCCATTTTTGTGGACACTGGATTTAGACATTAAAGGTTTTTTATCTGTTCTCAGAATTGTCATCATTTTGGAGTACTCTAGATTTGCTTGTTGGTTCTCTCCTGTGCTTCCAGGGTTTTTCTCTAGGTTTTCTATTTTTTCTCTGTGCAAAAATCAACTCCTAAATTTCTATTCCCTTTTGATTAATTTTCTCCCAGGTCCTGAAGTACCAGTAACACCCACAACTCCATCCCCTGATGCGCTGTCTGCAAATAAAAGGGACAGCACAAGAGTATATCATAACTTGGTAAGAATCTTTGTAAAATCAAAGTGCTGCAACTCAACTGCTAACACCAAACATAATATTGTATCTAATAGGTTGTACAAAATATTTTGGACACAGAAAGGGCTCATGTTAGTGAACTCCAGGTGGGTTAAATCAATCTCTGGATTTGATTTTATTATATTTATTGATTTATTTCCTTATATTCTTTTTATTTCAGGCCTTGCTGCAGAACTATCTCAAGCCATTGAAATTTTCAAATGTGTAAGTAAACATTGCAAACATATCAGGCCATTGGAGGTTGCATGTTGGTGTTCACGGCTAACGTGTCATCTTTCACCGCTGTGAGTCCAACGGGTCAGGTCGCTGGTTCGAGCCCTGTGGTCGGCATGTGAATTGAGTTTGTTTGATGTGTTGTTCTTTCCTATGCTACGAGAGTTTTCTCCGGCTTCTCCGGTCTCCTCCCTCTGCTGTAAAAATCAACATGTGAGTTGAGTGTCGTGTGCATAAAATATTGAATGAAGTGGTAGTGTGTGTGAGCGAAAAGTGTCCCCAATTAGTGCGAAAGCACTAGAACAACTAGATACTTAAATGAAAATATTTTATAATTCCTTTCCCTCACTCAATTTTTTTCTTTCTTTTATTTCAGCCTCTCTTCAAGAGATTTGAAAGTTTTATGTGGAAACTTTGAAGAACTTGTTAAATTTCAACAAAACCTTTTTAGTATCATAGACGAGTGTGCACAGTAAGTATCTAAAGATACATGCATATAAATTACTTGATTCCTTGACATCGCCAATCACAAAGAACAGGGAAAACAATTCGTCAGAGCCACACGAATAAAAATAAAAATCTCTTCACTTTTTTTTTACAGTCAGCCTCTCAGCACCCAACGTATCGCAGCAAACTTCTTACAAATTGCACCTCAGGTAAAGACTTGGTATATTCAAAGATATAATAGAACTACTGTAGTGTCTGCTTATAGATTACAGTCATAGCTCAGAGATATACAAAGGAAATCCTATACTTTTGTACAAATTTGACTGAATTTGAACTATTTTTCTTTTTACACTCTGGTTTATGACAGATGAAGGAGCTCTACTTAACTTACTGTGCAAACCATCCAAGAGCTGTGGAAATTCTTACAAAGTATAGGTAATTTTGATTACTACCAATAGTTTTTTATTCTTTGTAACCTCTGCTGGTATTTTGTCATTACCAGATGATGGTTCTCGCCAGTTTGGCTGAAACTTCAGTTGTCAAACTTCATCGTCATCATTTTCATAATCATCACCACCATCATCATCATCATCACCATTATCATCTCCATCACCCCAAGCATCATAATCATTGGCATCATCATCACAATCATCATCACCATTTATTTCTATCATGTTCATCATCATCGGAATCAATATTACCATCTTCATCACAATCATCATCATCATCATCACCATCACACATACAATAATACATATACAGTGGAACCCCGCTCTAAGGACAACCGCGCATAAACAACCCCACATTAAGGACATTTGAAATTTGAAGACGTCTTTTCTGTATTTGTTTATTGATATAATGAGCTGAATACGGATTATATTGTCAGTTTTTGCGTATCGGAGGACCACACACTGATCATTGCTGTAGAGTTTCCTATTACAGCATAATGAATAAGACAAAGCTCGCAATACCATTGCATTGTTTTTTTCCAGAACTCAACTCAAAATGAAATTGTACAATACAGTGCAGTAAATGCAAATGTTGTCCTTGTACAGTAATGCACTTTTTGTTCTAGTTTAGGCTGTTATATTGAACACTGTAGTTCAAGCTTTACAGTACAGTAAAAATAAATGGTTAAAAATGTGTTTTCAGCTGTTTTTTTGACACCTCGGTTAATAGGGACACCCCATTAATAAGGACAGTTTTGTCCGTCCCAACGGTGTCCTTATTAACGGGGTTCCACTGTATATTGATTTGATAATATGATTATATTGCAGCGATGAATTGTCGGCATTCATTGAAAGTAAAGGAGCACCAGCACCTGGAATACTTACCCTCACCACAAGTCTAAGCAAGGTATCTAGGCCACTATTAATCATATTCTGTCAATTACTAGTGATCATACATATGATTCACTGATTCCTCACATCAATCAGTCATTCAGTCAATCACACAATCATTCAGTCTATGACTGCACAAATTTTACAATTGTAAGTTAACACTTTTTTGTTTCCTTGTAGCCCTTCCGCCACCTTGATAAATACCCAACTTTATTACTTGAGCTRGAAAGACATTTAGAGGTTTGTTTTATTTTTGTTTGTTTATTTGTTCGGTCGGTTGGTTGGTTGACTAGTTTGAAGAAATAGAAAACACGAGTGCGTGCTTTGTGCAGTTATAAAGCACGCGGGGGTTGGCAGAACACGAGAGAAGTGTAAGGAGAAGCACGACRCATAGTGGAGTGCTTCTCAACACTTTTCCAGTGTTCCACTGCCAATCCCCAAGTGCTTTATAACTCCACACAGCACAGCAAGCAAGTTTTTTTTTTCTTTTATAAAATACAAATTACAATTTATAACTGTTATTTTGGATAGGAAATATGCAACTGAAAGTGTGTGTGCGTGCTGTGTGCTCTCATAAAGCACGCACATCCAACCAATCAGAATGCGAGATTCATAACAGTTATTTTATAAAGTTAGTTAGTTAGCTGGGATGATATTGAACCCTCTACTTCATAAAGATTCCATAAAAACATACCCTTCTCAGACCCTCCCCACTCTCTAAAAATCCAATACTCCCTTTGGGAGAGGTATGAATATTTTTTTAAACTACTCAATATACTATCCTCCGACCCTCCCAACCCCTTGGAAAAGCCAATGCCTCTTTGTAGATGTGTTGATATTTCTTGAAAACCCTTGATAAGTGTGATTTACATTTTTCATTTCAATATAGGATGGACATATTGATCAACTGGATACCAAAAAGGCAATAGCTGTTTTTCAAAATATAAAAGTACGTAAGTCAAGGAAAGTCTTCGAATTTCATTAGCTGTTCTAAATAGTGGTCAAAAACTGACTACCATTTGCTGTCGGCCATAAAGAATTCTATTGACAACTTTCAATAAGCCTGAAACGAGATGACATTTTACCCCCGACTCTATACCATAATAGTTTTTAAAATTCTTTTATATTAAAATTCTTTTATATTAAAATTTTTGATTCCTTAGAGAATACATGAACAATAGTCATAATTAAAGGACAAAAGCAGTGTGAAAAGGATTATGGTCTAGAGACGGGGGTAGAACGTCATCTCGCTTCAGGAATATTCAGCTGATAAACATTCAGCACAAGACAGAAAATGATATATAAGTATTTTTAAATATTTGATTCAAATTTGATTCATTCCTGCCAAGAGACTCATCAGGGACCTTCTGGTTAGCCAACATGTCAAACAATGAGTTCAAATTCCATAACAATCCACATATTAATTCAATGGTGGCTGCTTGCAATTGCCAACCTACTTTTAACAAAACAAGTTGGTTTTGGGGTTCATTGTTAGTGGTAAATAAAATATGTGAATATAATCAATAATTAATAAATGATAATGTTATCACAGACCAGCTGTACTGAAATGAGAAAGAAGAAGGAAACGGAACTAGAAATTCTTACCGGAGACATTGAAGGCCTTGATAAAGAGGTTAGTAAGCTTTGATTTCTCTTTGTTTAGATTATTATTTAGTAGAGCAAAATGTGTTCTCTAGATACACAAGTTTTTCTCCCTCAATCAAAAGCAAGAGTTGTCAGAGTATTGCATGTTTTCAGTATTGAATGTAGTGGTTATAATTAAGTTGAAATTTAATTGCAAGGAATGTTGATATCTGAGCAAGCAATTCTGTGAGCATGCTTTCAAATTATATCAGTGTTAACAAGAGATAACTAGATAAAAACTAGTCTGAGCTGTGTCTGTGTTTCTAATGAAACAGTACTGATAAAGCAAAACTCTGATGAAGGACTAGCATCCAAAACATCAGTATTTTCATCTTTTCATGGTGTAAAATTTACCCTTTTATCATTTCATGTTAACAAGTGACTTTCAATCAATAATATGATTGTTTTGGTAGAAACTGACATGGTCTTCATACAATGGAATAAGTTGCATCTTCTTGTCAATATTGTAACCTGATGCTGCATTTTCAATTGTGTTTTTCTTTCCCTGTTTCAGGAACTTGCTAAATTTGGAGAATGCTTACTAGTGTCGCAGTTTCTAATCCATGGTAATGAAGGGGTAAGTTATCATGAAGTCATTAGAAAGTCTAAAGCTGAGGACACACGGTGCAACATTAAGCGCAACATTGCTAAAGTAGAAAACCATCCTACTTCAATGTTGCACCGTGTGTCTGTGCCTTAAAAGTGATAAATGCTTTTCAAAGAATTTGAAGCCTCTTTTTGACATCATCATCATAATCACCATTGCCATTATTTTTGTCATCATCATCATCACATCACCACTATCATGAATATTGTTATTTTTCAATCATTAACATTGTTGTCAGTAATTACTGTCATCATTATGACCATCACCATCTTTGTCCTCATTTTTCCAGGAAGTTAAAGAGAGATATTTCCTGTTATTTCCATCCTATCTCGTCATACTACAAGTCAGCCCAAGGCTTAACGGCTTCTGTTATGAGGTAAGTTTCCCATAACCCTGCTTGTATTTCTAGATAAGAAGGTCTTGTGTTAATTGTCACTGCTCTGTTTACCTTCACAGAAAAAGCATGACTTATCAAGAGTGTCATTAAGATCTTTAGAAGACACAGAGGGCATCCTCAATGCCTTCGAAATCAAAGGTACTGTAAATAGACAATAAATACTTTTTTCACTCCAGTATCCTCAAATTCTTGTATTCTGATTGGCTGTTGGAGTTGGTGATATTATTTTTCTCTCACTACAGTCTGATATCATGGGATACCCGATTGCTAAACAAAAAGACAATTTTTCCCATTCTACCTATTCTTTCCCCATTCTATGTATTCTTTTCCCATTTTTTATTTCCCATTTCTTTCCCATTTAAAATCCAACAAGTGAGTTTTATTCATAAATATTTCTTGGTGTCTTCAGCAAGTGGAGAGGTAATGAAAATCTCAACAAACCATGCACCAGAAAAGGCAGCCTGGTTAGAAACTGTTTCCGAGCTTGTAGGAATAGAACCGTCACACTCAACTCCAAATCACAGTCCAAAATCCCTGGAAAAAACAGCATGGGACTCAAGATTTATCGGCAAAACAGATAAGACAAGTGACTTCAATGTCTCACCAACTGGCTTGCCTAAGAGGTCTAATAGTACTTCTTTAACAACGTCACATCAGGTAAGGAACTCCTTGGACTTGCAGCACATGTTAGCAAAGTTTGTTAGGTCTTTCCTTTGATTCAAGGGTTTTTTTGTGTTCTCCATTTATTTTCCTCCCTCTGCAAAACCTAATGAGCTAAATTCCAATTGACCTCCTCGGCTTGAGTGTAATGTTGTCCCATTTCAGACCATGTGTCATTCCCTCGAGAATTAGATTCTTTGTTGGAGTTGTATCCATATTTATGTGTCTTCTCATGTGCAACCGATCACAAGCGTTAAACAAAGAAAGGATACTCTAGGGAATGACTCGTGGTCTGAAATGGGATTTAACGTGGTCTGAAATAACGCCCGAGCCGAGGAGGTCTATTTGATCTGTAAGTAAGACATTCTTTGAAGGTCTGATAAAAAAATTGAAGGAAACAATTTTTAAGCAGTCTGAGAATAAATTTTATCACTCTTTTGCAGCCCTCAACAGAGATAATACGTTCCATGTCTACGTCTCATTCAGCAAATACAGATTTGACTTCACTCGGCTCTCCAGTACATAGCCCACTAGTACCAAAGAGATGGGATTTCTCCAAACTTAGACCAACTCCACCTCTTCGACCTGCTTATGCACTGGCAGCTAAAGAGGTTAGTAGTAGTGTAGATGCATGTGTCCTGACTTGAATCTGTCCAGAAGCTATTTCAGGGTTAAAATAATATTTTGGCTTTTTATGATAGCATGATACTTCAATGGGGCGTTCTGTCAAAGGCCTTTTACACTCCAACAAGAAGAAACAAGGTTTGTAGTATCAATAACAGCTATACGTTCTTTAATTTTCTCTATTGAAAAATATGCATTCATCGCTTGCTCAATAATTGATAAAAATTGATAATGATGTTGCTCATTCTAAAGCTTTTTGCCACAAACTGTAAGATTATTTTTGCCCAGTACATATCTATCATGCTGTAAGGCAAGGACATTTTGTTAGTTGAAGTTGCATTTCTTCTGTCTCTTAATGCTATCTAATAAATAACACTTTCATACAAATTCTATTGTTTTCTATTGTTCAATTAGCACTATTTTGTACTATTTAGTAATTAGTGTTTCACGGATTAATTGTTTGCACTCTACAGTAKAAATATTTATCTTTGCTACTCATGCATACGTATGTGTCTAAGGTTGTATTGAGGGTTTAGAGTATGTTTGAAGGGGTTTATATCCAGGATTTTACAGTACTCTACTTAATATATCAAATATAACGATTTACCCTCTCATGGATCATTTTCCTCTATCTTGTTAACGTGAGTTGTCTCTTGTTATATAATTAATGGCCAGCTCAGGTATAATCCTTATTGCTTTTATATTAACTTATTAATCAGTAATCAAATTAATTTGAATTCTTAGAACAAAAATAATAGACTTTTCATCTACTAAGGTTATTCTCACAAATGCATGTATAGTAATGATATTCCTTTTTCTCATCCTGTAATCATGAGTTCAATGCGCTCAAACCCACCATCATTAAGTAGAAATTCTAGATGGTTCTCTTCTGTATCTTGACAGTTTTTCTGTATTTTTCTTTGTCTTTTTCTTTTTCTCCCTCCGCAAAATCAACTTTGAAATTCTAGTTTGAACATTTACATTGATTGGAGCCTGATTCTATTGAACTGTCCCACATTTTAAAGCAACAAGGATACCAAATTAGATTTTTTTATGGTTTTTTTTTTTTTTTAAACTTGCCAAAGTTGACCAAATCCTATTGAACATAATGTTTTCCCATTGCAGACCATGTATCATTCCCTTGAGAATAATGTTTTTTTAGTGGTATTGATATTAATGCGTCTTCTCATGCACGACCATTAAACAAAGAAATAATACTTGAGGGAATGACTTTCTGTCTGAAATAGAAAAACATTATACCCAAGGGGAATCAATAATGATAATAATAATAATAAACTTTATTACTGTCAAAAATATTTAGCTGTAAAGCTAATTGAGGGATTTGTCTGTCGTTGTGAATTTGGTTGAAAAGTGAAAACCATGATGATTGTGACATCATTATGAAACAAAAACCTTTTCATTTTCATATGAGTTTCAGATTAGAATTTCATTTTTTTTCCTGTTTTTCTTCCTGTCTCTCTACTTCTCTTCTGCCAAAAAAAATGTTGTTTCTCTTTATCTGATCTCTGATGCTTGAGTAAACCACCTCTTCCTGTACACATTCTAAAAGATTATACTATCTTTAATAACTATTACTACTAATAAATTGATAATCATGTACTTCAACATATCATAAAGTTTATTTTGGCAATGACAAAATCAATAATTATCATTAATCCAATGCTATTACCGCTATAGGATTTATTAGTAATAATGTATTAGATTAATGCCCCTAAACTTGCTAATCAGAACATTTATTAATTTATGAATCATTAATTATCTAGCTATTTTATTTATCATTAATCAATCAATTATTTATTTACTTTTAAATAAATTGTTTCAAAAAAATTTTTTTTAATATGACAACGAACACATAATGATTATTGAACGTCATACTTTTTATAACACAAGTTTGTCTGCATGTTATTTTGAAGTTCATTTGTTTGTTTTGTTTGTTTTGTTACGTGTTCGACAAGATACCATGATTTAATTTGACCAAAGTGGAACATCACTTTGTTTTTCTTTTGTCTCCAGATTTCACGATCTTACAGTGTTTACCTTTATCACACGGTGAGCAATCACCCAACATAGCTAACAATATTCACCTCATAACCTAGATATTGTGAAAATGTTCTCTTTACACCTAACACCTGCTGTGAGAGGCTTGCTCTTTTGTCAAAACATTGATTTATACATAGTGTCTGTGAATACAAAAATAATCTTACATCAAATACCTCGATCTTTTTACAATGTACTAACAATGATGTGCCATAAGATGCCTCCCTTAGGCTGCTCTTCTTTCAAAGCATTAATTTATAATCTCTTACATTTGATTTTAAACACTTTGAAAATATTTACTTTACATGTAAATAGATAATAAATCCTGTAAATAGCTTAAGTGCAATTACAAAACAGGAAAAATCTAAATATTTTTATATCAAGGGCAAAGATTAAGATAACTTAAGATTAATTTTCTATGGTAAATTTTTGTATGTTACATTCTTTATTCAGTTAAATAATGAAAGTATATCGGAGCAAAAAATAAAATTTCGTAATCATAAAATATTATTACATGTAAACTAAAAAAAATAGATAATTATATACTAACTTAAAATGAAAATTGTCTTCAGGGTTTAAAGTCTATAAATTAATATTTAATTAATATTTAATAATCAATATTAATTATTATTATATGCTAATAATAATGAGAGATAATAACATAACTACCCATCAATCAATTTGACCTGAAAAAATAACTAATTTTAGTATTTAAAATACTGCACTTCTATTCATCATCGGCAATATATCAGTGCTTAAAATAAACATTATAAAAATTATAAACTGTAAGTTGCTAACTTTTCCTTGTAGGTTGTCTAACGGTAAATCCAATTTCTACTTTCAAAACTTGTACTACTCACTGTACATGTAAGTAAATCTCTCTCTTTCCAGTCTACTCAATAACTTAATTTTCAATCTCTTAAAATTCTTGAAAGTTTTGATTTACCAAGTTGAGACATTTAAACCAGTTGATATTAATGATTATTAGTGTTACAAATTTCATTTTTTTGCACATTATAAATTAATTCCTTTTCCTATAAAAAAATGGTCGTTTTTGACTTCATCATTTTCCCCATTAATTTTAATCAGCTTTTCTTTTTAATCGTCCTTTCTTTTCTTTCAACTATATAACAGGGTTTTTTCCTCTTTTTTAGCTTCTCTTTTAATGTATATATTACGTGTTAAGACCCGTCCTCGTGTATTTGGATATTTTTGTAAACAGAATTTTCTTATTCCATTTTCAAAAAATCCTCCTTCACACAGAACATTTTGAATCATTTTCAACCATCCACACACACACGCACACATCTTTGAAAAGTTGCATTTTCAAGTTGCGTATTCAATGGATATTTGTGGATATTTTTACCAATTAGGGAATAAATTCTGTTTTCAAAAATATCTGGTTATATGTGGACAGGACCTTAATTGGTCCTATTTTTTCTTCATGTGGATCTTTCAGTGTTGGTTGTCTATTTATATTTTTTTTGTTTGTTTCGTTCTTTTCCCTCACTTTGTTCACTTATTCTGAAAAAGTAAGACTTTTGTCCAACTGAATACATAGTCACAGCTTTCGCCTTAACTTATTAATATTATTTATTTATTACTAATAATATGCTATTAATGGCTAATAAGCAAGGGCAGTGTTAAATAAGATGAACACGCTGTAGAAAGCTTCTGGGCCTGCTGCCATGACAACATTCTCACCTTGTTCGTTATTGTTATCTGAATTTTGAATGCGTACATAAAAATACCTACCAACATACTCTGTACTTCTACACAAATTAATGTTCTCTTTATAAAAATAATCAGTTTTGTAGATCTAGAAAATATTCCTACCTTTCCTTTAGAGGGACTGACGAGACCCCCTTCCTAACCCCGCCCCCAAACAGGATAAGGGTTCCTCACCATCCCTGCAGGCTATTGACTCTCTCTCCCTCAGAGGGAAGGGAAAGGGGCATGGATTGGATATTTTCTGGAACTTCTTTTCCATTTAACTACAGTTTATTTAATAAGTTATTACACTGAGTTTATAGTTAAATGGTTGTTGAAAAGGTGTAAGGTGGAGATTTAACCTCATGAATTAAAACTATTTTGAACAAAAGATACCACAAACAAATGATGATAATTTTATCTTTGCATTAAATATTTTAAGGTGAAGGGCAGCCTTTTACAAAATTGATCAATCAGTTTTTTCCATCATTTGGGAGATTTAGGTATTATGTAATATTTCATTAATGATTACAAAACGTTCTGCACGCAGGTCGAACTAAAAGTGAAGCAACAGATGAGGAAAGACATAGTAACTTAACATCTGTATCAGGTAATAATGCTCTGTTGTAACACTGACAGCATTAACGATTAGATTCACGGCTTAAAATAACGGTCCTGAGAAAAAGCAAAAAAAAAGACAAACACAACTTGCATATGCATTTCATTAAAGATTCAAATTTGCGACCCCAGGGTTGTCACCCATTGCGTTTCTGCTTCTTTTTACATTCTGCTATTATCATCCTTTAGGTGGAAGTCATGTCTTAGAAGAAGATATGCTAATCCTTCGAGTGATTGAAGCATACTGTACAAGTGCACGGGCCAGGCAGACCTTAAATTGTGAGTTGAAACAATTAGCTTGTTAAAATGACTTTTAGTCATTCCAACATGTATTAGCAAATTATCGTTAAATTGGTATCCATGTTTTAGTCGAGGAGATTTCATGGCTGTGAAAAAACTTATAGTATGATGTAATCGGTTCTACTGATGTCTTCATTCTGTGAAACTACATTGACCATACCATGAGTAATTCACAGTCAAAATCTGCTCTGTTGTTCTTTATCGGTTGGCTTTGGGCTTGTATTTTTGCTAGCCCCTCGTCATTTCCCTTTTCTGGCAAGTTTGTTTTAGGACTATGATTGTTTACCATGGTGATGGTCATAGTCATGGTTGTCATGGAAATTGTTGTCATGGAGGCAAGCATGGCAATGATAGTATCTATGAAGGTTATGATTAAATGATGATTAAGTTGATGATAATGATTAATTGTGATAATGATGATAATGATGATGGTGATGAGGATGATGATGGTCTTACGATAATGATTATCAGTGACATATACAATCAAGTATTATTAATGCTACTATAGTGAAGCTGTCAGCCATTGCCTCCATCTAATAGTCATTGATATTATAACAGCACACTATAAGCACCATCTTTAGTTAGCAACATAACTATCTGTAAGTGTGCTATTCTGCAATCTTCATCTTAACATTTCCCCCCTATATAACAGCTGTGTCTTCTGTTGAATATTTTTGTGCCTTGTAGTTTAGGCTTTGTGAGTTATAAAGTATTAAAGCACTAAAACTATAAATATGCCATCATAATCTTCCAATTGTGAGCTTCTGTGAGCTTCGCTATTCAGTTTGCTGACTTTAAATTTCAAACCATTTCTGTAGTTTTTATCTATCGGTCCAAAAATTAAAATCTTGAATAAAACACTATTCTGTGTCCAGAGTAGCAAGTGGCCGTCTATAAATTCACCATTTTCCTTGGCTTATCTTTTACTATTTATTCAATAATTTTGAAAAATTGGTAAGATTATTTTTGGAGAATTACCGATAAGCATAAAGATTAATGATGTCCCTAGAAGCACCCGCTGGCTTGTAGATTGCTAAATATTACTAGCAATATCAATACTAAGCACTGAAGATGTCATTAAATTTAAATATTCTTAATCATAACATTCTACGGTATTTAGACAATCAAAAGGAATTGTGGGAGGGGAGAGTTGTTTGTCACTACATGTCATAAGATAAGCACAGAACTGTAATTATGATGATAATGATTAGTTTGAAATTGTCTTTAAATAAATTAAACTTGTGAAACATACTTACAGTCACAGAAAATACCCATACCTCTTGCATGGAAAGAGAGCATTGCTTGATATGTTACAGCAATATTCCCTTGATTCCATTTCCCCTACAGGGGGTGGTATGAACATTTTCTGGATTCTTGGTAAATATTTAACAATTATTCGCCAAAGGCAAAGTGAATATCAGGGAATATTTAAAAGACACATTTTCTTTCATTATTTCTAATTCCTCTCCGGTAACAGCAACAAAGCGGCATGGCCGCAATTTGGGATTATCGCTGGAGGTGATTATCGTGTGATAGTGTGAGTTTCTCGACCAATCAGCGCACGAGATTTTCAATAATCACCTGTCTATTTTTACTAATAATCTAATATTAGGAGTCAAAAAGCATTCGTCTTATAAATAAGACCAGTATTATAAGTGGCATTCTTTTAGCCATGAATTAGGGTGGTTTATAATATAATTGCAAAGCATGATGGTTAAATTATGACTGCCGTCGTCTGAACCATGGAGGATTGAGATACCTATGCTTTTAATTTTATCTAGCACTTAACACTCAAGTAGAACCGATGGACTAAAGACAGACATTACATAGGTTGGTTCCCTTGATGATATGGTTTCAATGATATCCATAATAGATAGCATTGTGTAGGCCTGGTCTTCACTAGTGATAAAAGCATAAGCATATAACAACTTACTAAAGCACAGAAAGTACCTTATGGTAGACTTTTTTTTTTTTTTCAAGTACAGAAAGTACCTTATGGTACACTTGATCATTTTGTTTTTAACCCAAATATAAAGGGATTAACTTATTGAAGTGAAGACTAGGCCTCTAAGGCAAAAAGGGCGTTGGCTCTCTGAAAAAGTATTCACAGAATTGTAGTCTGACCTCCTAATGAAACGGGTTAAAGAGAAAATACAGGGGCATAGAGAGGGCAGCACTTGTGCTTGTTCTGCAGCTGTCTTTAGGAGGAGTGAGGAGGAGTCACTTTCTGCCTACCTCAAAAAATTATTCCTCTGTCCCCTCCCCCCTCACAAAAGGATCATCACCAAGAAACCAACGATTAGCAACTATGATGACCGGAAATTATCCACCACACTGTCATGCCACAGCCTTTTTGCCTGGTGATGTTATCCATATCTATGTTTATGCTCTCTGTTTCCTCCATGCTTCCATGCTATATCAATCTTTTAAGTTAATTCTTAAGTTAAAGCTCTGTTTGTCGTCACACAAGTATGCTTGAAGGTATAACAATAACTAGTCTTAGAATGTATGTTGTACCATGTTGAGTACATGTTTGCTAATAATGCACGAGTGTTATGCATATATGCATGCCAAGGAAAGTTAAAGTATTAGGTATGCCGACCTCTCTACTCTGTCTGTCTTCAATAGCATGCATAAAATGGTCATCGTGACAATGTAGGTTTTAGTGGACACCAAACAAGGCAATTCAAAAACAATCCACAGGTTTGCTCTTGAAGACTAGTGCTTTCCAACATTGTCATGGAAACACTTTGATTGAAGTCCATCAAAATCCTATTTTGTCGCAACAGTAAATGGTATGATTCTGCACATGCTATTGAGGATGACTAATGAGGATTAAAGAATATTATTATTAATGACGCTTGGCTGAAATACCATGGTATAATGCTGTATCATGCAAAAATAATTAATATGAATATACGACAAAAATGCTGATAACAAATCAAATTAAAGTTAAAGACAGTAACGTATGGTGTTAATAGAACCTCAGTGCAGCTCATCATATAGTACACACTTTCTTTTCTCTTTCTGCTCTTATTAGRCAATACAAATTTGAATGAGAAAGAAAGTTCACAAAGAATTTCGTTTTATTCTATTATTTTGTCCTCCAAATAGTCCCCTTCACAGTTCCCTGCACTGTCTTAAAAGGTTAATGGCCTCTGCATCAAAGTGAGATGGCTTTGACCTTGCAATGATGGATGTTACCTTTCAAGATGTCACAAGGAACTGTGAATGGGACTATAGACTCCTTGCAGTATGTTGGAATGCAGCTCAATTTGGAGGACATAACAATAAGTTTCCAATGCTCATGAGATTGAAATTCTTCTGTTTTGCCCTCCAAATTGAGCTGCTTTGACATCACATACAAGGGCTCTATCAAGCTGCACTGGGAATATGCTGCAAGAGGTTCATAGCTCCATTCAGTAAAGCTTAAAAAGAGGTCAAAAAATGGACTTTAGATAAATGTCAACAAAAATAAAAATACTAATCTCTCAAATGAGCAACACTCGTAATTGCAACAGTATAATACTCAAGTTCTAATAGACTTACTCGTAGTAACATGCATTCCATTTGTGGCTATTTTCTAACGAAGCATGAGAGAAAAGTTTTGCTTGAAAAGCTAGATAAAAATGTAACAAAAACCAAAGAAAAATCTAATGTGTAATCGTTAATGCACACTGAATTTCCTTCCTACATTTCTTCTTTCATGATTTTTATTATTTTATTTATTTTTAAGTATTTTGAGGGGGGTAGGGTGGTGGGTGGATTCGACCCCCACTACCCTAGCCTTCATTAAGAGACATAGAGCTAGAGAGAAGTATTTTTGTTGCATATCATTCTAAGACTTGTATTTGTTATACCTTCATTTTATGGTACAATAGCTGAGGATGTTATCCATGAGAGTGGAAATGAATTAGATGGCCTCTCTAGAGACGATTCCTCCGATGAAGAACAAGCCCTGCTGAATCAGAACCGCCCTCGAGGTGCAATGATTCTTGCTCGTGGTTGTTGCCCTGGTTTTGCTGGCAAGAGCCGACTCTTCTCCTATTGATCAGACTAGGATTCTAAGCTTAATGTGTCTAAATAATTTATAGTGCTCGAAAACAAACCGATAAATTATCCTAACTAACATTAGAGTGCAAACACTACATTGCGGAACAATGCTATCTATTTTTATGTACAATTCTACCTCTATTAAGCAAACAGTTTATTTTGACAACCTTCATTTAATGGGTAGATCCTTTTCTCAAGGGCAGATCATCCAGGAGGAATGGATTGCTTGGCTAGTCATCCCCCTATAGAGTTGAAGAATAATTAGAATAAAGAATAAGAAAAAAGATTCAAAGGCCGAAATAATATTTATGGATCTGCCAAAGTTTTCTTCCATTGCTTACTCTAAAACAACAGGCAACCTCCTGAAGGTGTCCAATTAATAGCCAGGTACCACTCTAGATATTTACAGTAAAGCTTACCTCTATTCAGCGGATACCTTTAATTAAGCAGACACCACTCGCAAAGTCTCAAAGGTGTCTGCATAATACTAGTACCACTGTATTTACAGTAAAACAAACCTTTATTCTGTAAACACCATTTATTTAGCAGACCACGGTCAAAGTCTTGAAATTGTCCACCTAACAGACTGGTACCATTGTAGTACAAGATAGTGTCTATTATATTATCAGTGGTATTCAGTATGGTAATGCTTTAGATACATGATAGTATTCTTTTATTGATATAGTTTTTGCACTCCATAGATGTAGTAGGCTAAAATTAGAAAATTATAGCTAAAATAATATCTTAATAAAAATGTATTATTTGTAAGTAGATTTCGATCTGTGTAAATTACAATTCAGAAAAATCGCTCAAACAATCAATATTTTTCCCCTTTAATAGAGTACAAACACTTTAAGTGTGTAACATAAATACCACTAAATACTGCTAAATTATGCTAATCCTATTGTTTTCTATTGTTTAATTAGCACTATTTACTACTAAATAGTGCAGTGTTGCACGCTTTCAGTGTTTGTACTGTAGTTTAAACTGTCTTAGATAAATAACGTTATTGATTAGTGATAATTTAAGAATCATAACGATTAATTTAGAAGTTATTACTCTTATGGTATATTTTTGTATATATGTCTTTCAGGACCAGGATTCTCATATCTAAAGTGTATTTTTTAATCTTTTTTTCCGTTGCATATTTTTATTACTATTTTGTAGAACAATTAATTAAAAACGATTTGTTGCATTTTTGTTGTCATTTGTCATCTCTTCTATATGTAATTTACTTTTATTCCAATTTATTGGATAGCATTTTTGAAGTGATAGAATGATTTTACTTAGATGGTGAAAGGATAGTTAACGTAATACACACTACTCAACACTAATTCTATCGTGTTCTTTTGTTATAGTCTTACTATTAGTCACTGATTAAAGAACTTCGTTTCACGGACCAAGTAAAATCACTCAAAGAAAAAATATTAGCCTATTCGTTAGACGAAAGTATCTGAACTGCTTTGTGCAAGCAAAAATCTATTTGATCCACCGTACAGGAAGATCATTGGTTTTATATTTTGTTGATGACAAACAAAACGATTATGAACCATGGTCACTCGGCAGTATCTTTGAGTTCACTTCTACACAGCCGTTTACTTCATAAGATGTCAACTAACCATGACCTGACCTTGGACATAATATCTTGCACATTTCAGACCACGTGTCATTCTCTTGAGAATGGGATTCTTTGTTTGAGATATTTTCATATTCGTGTGTCTTCTCATGCACAACCTTTAAACTAAGAAAAGATACGCAAGGGAATGACATGTGGTCTGCAATGAGAAAACAATACACCAAAGGTAAAGAGATCTATTGTTTAGAATGTTTATTATATTTTATCTGTTTTCCCCTCCACAGCAAGTCCAATAGCACCGGAGATCCCTGCACATGCACCCAGAGCAATGTCTACATCAAGTTTAAGAAGTGACTGGAAAAGAAAATCAAAAAAGAAACAAAATAGGTAGGTTTGGGTGTATCCTAGTTAGCATTACATCATGGGATACTAAGGGGATAATTACTGGTAGTAAATAAAACCCTTTGAAATCTTAACTCGATCATTGTCATCCTTTTTGAATGACCATTTTTCACCCATTCATTTATTCATTCTTTCATCCTTTTATTTTACATTTGATTGCATGATGTCATACATACTATCAGAGACGAGACCACTATTCCTGAACAGACTAAAAAAAGACCCGAATCTGATGGTTCAATTGGCAGTAAATTAAGGTCAAAGTCAAGAAGATCAAGGTATAGATCAATACTCCAGTTTCGAGTTCTCCGTTGCTCAGGGTTAGCCTCGATTTTGTGTAGAATTTTTCATATGAAGGAGTGAAGGTCCGTGGAATTTCAAAGTGTTTGTATTGTTGAAGTTTTGCATTATTTACTTTACCGTTGGTATTTGTGAATATTTAGACACTGGGCACGAGGCTAAGCCTGAGCAAATGAGTCTGTAATCAAGGAACACAGTGGTAATCTGGAACTCAAACAAGGTCTGTTGGATAGCTTGCAATTACTGTTTACAAAAATAGTGCTATTGCCATGCAAGCTGTGTGCACTATAACTCGTATTCAGATAAATTGGTATCTATCAGTGCTTGAGGTTTGGTATCCTTCTTTAGGGGGGTGGAGTGGGGGTGAAATTAAAATTGAGTTGAAGAGAAACATAATTGGAGCTCTGTTTCTTTTATCCACCCACCCCTCCCCCATGAACATTTTTTATCCCCTCCATTAGTAAGTATATTAGTAAGTATTGAGATCATGAATGATTGAGGATAGTTTGAAAGTGGATGGGAAGAAGAGATACAATTAAATAAAGATTTGTGGGAAGTGGATAATGGGAAGACATATATTGTAATTTCTCTTTTTTAACTTCATTTTAATTCCATTTATTGTTCATTTATGTTCATTTATTTCATATTTCTAAAAACAATTTAAACTACAGGCACACTAAATATAATTATTGTTAAAATTTTAATTTTTAAAGATGAAGTAATCTAGAGACATGAATACCTAAGAAATATCATAAAAGTTAGTAACATAGAGATGCCATAGTGTCAATGCACTTGCTTCTACCCTCACCTAGAGGTTGTTTCAAAGTTTGATCTTCGAAAAAGCTGTTCCTTGACTTAGATAAGGTACTCAAGATGTTGTTTCAACTGACTTAGATCAGCACAGATATTCCAGGCTTCAGTAAAATGGTTTTCTTGTATTCAATAAATTTTAAGATTAAAGACCATTAAAATTTGATAAAATAAATACCTAAGCATTTAAACTCTTGGTTAATTTCCAGAAGATAATAATAAACTTCCAGGAAAATATATGTGCAATCCTAGCCAGGGGGGGTTGTGTTTTCAGGGGAGGTAAAGGAGATCGGATGCACAGTTCCAACTATTAAAAATAGTAAATGAGGTTTCAAAAAAATTTAAATTACACAAGCAGTTAAATACTGTAGACTCACCTCAAAAGTCAACATAGACCTCTTTATTATAAAAGGCAATGTGAAAACAGATTGAAAAATTGATATTTTAGCTTTAAAAATAGAATTGTGAACATGTTGAGTATCTTTCACAAGGATTATATGGTTTTTCACATGACACAACAAACATCCACCTTTATCACACGGCAGCCATATGTTCATTCTCACGAGAATAAAAATCTTTATTTAACATATATAAATTTATTTTCAAGCACTTGAATGCGAGGCCCTGCTTAGTGGAATCTATTGTTCAAAACAATATAGCTGCTAAGTAAAAAAGGCACATACTATTCACAAGTTCACGATCTTGAATTTTTTATGATCATGCATCACAGAAAATAAGATCCCTTGATTCACATATTATTTCACGTAAAACCATTTGTTTCGCAATGTGGGGCTCTGGGAAGTTTACAATCTATTTCTATTCTAAAAATCCTAAAAACTAAAGCTATCCTGTGCGCAGAGGTTCCTTTTTGACCCTCCATGGGCTGGCTGGTTGTGGAAAAAAAATACCAGCCAGCCCACAGAGGGTCAGTAAAAACCTCTGCTCGCAGGGTACTCAAAGCTAAACTTTTCCTTCAAATTAAACATCATTAAATCTAAATGTTTAAAACTATTAATTATCAACAACGGGCAAAAAGTTGTCCTCCAAATTAAACATCATTAAATCTAAATGCTTTAAAAAATTATTAATTATCGACAACGTGCAAAAAGTTGACTGTTTTGTTTACTTTGCTTCTAGGGAGGGGCCCGATGATTATAATTGCTTAAAAAAGAAAGTAGAACATTTACAATATGTAAGTACCTGTTACATTTCCTTGCCGGAAATACTGTGAAAATACTTTGGTGTTGATAATTAATTATTCATTAGGATTTAATGATGGTAGACTTCTTGATTTGACGATGACTAAATTAAGAATTTTGATTCCGATTGGTTCATGATTATCGCTCCTGGTTATCATGTGATTTTGACGTCACAAAGACTGCTGTTCTCATAGTCTCTCTGTCAGTTTTCTAGTTTCAAATTCTCTGCTGCTTAAGGTGCTGGCACACGTTGCAACATTGTACGCAACATTTCAAGCAAAAAATTTGAATCTGGGCGACACACATTGCAACAAAATCATGCAACATCGCTTGTGTCATCCTGCTATGTTAAGATATTTGGTCAGCAGCAATAAATTTGGTGCAAGATGATTGGCTGGAAATATTGCACGCAATGTTGCAGCCATGTTCACATGATGAAATTTGTTGCGCGCAATGTTGCAAGAGTAGAGCAGGACTTCAGATTTGTTTGGGGTAGACATAYGCTGCAACAGTCCTGTTGCATGCAATGTTGCATGCAATGTTGCAGCGTGTGTCAGCACCTTTAAGGTTAGCCTTGATTTGTGTGAAATATTCATGCAATCATGATAGGGAGCTGGATCAAGTTAGTTCAGTTTCTTCTCATAGTAGTAGTGATAATGATGACAGATGGCGTTGAAGATAATTGAAGAAAAAGAAAACTTGCGCACATGCCGTGTGCTGTTATAAAGCTTGAGGGAGATTACAGAACATGAGAGAAGTGTTAGGAGAAGCACAGCGCATAGCAGAGTTCTTCTCAACACTTCTCAAGTGTTCTGTCAGTCCTCAAGTGTTTTATGGCTCCATACAGCACAGCAAGCACATTTTTTATTTCTTTTATGAAATACAAATTACAATAACTGTTATTTTGGATAGGAAATATGCAACTGAAAGTGCACTGGAGTGCTGTGTGCTCTCATAAAGCATGCGCTCCCAACCAATCAGAATGCCAGATGAATAATCATATATTTATTTAATAATGATGATAATATATTTATGAACAATACCAATAATGCTGGGTTTTTTCCTCATGATTCAACAGGAAACAATGTCTCTAAGAGAAAGTCTGGCAGAAGAACAAATGGCAAGAAGAAAAATGGAAAAATTCATCCGCACTTCTCTAAAAGGAATTGTACCTGATTTGAAATGGGAAGAATTCAAAGATGAAACATGAAACTTGAAGGACAAATAGATAAACATGAGATGAGAAGAAGTATGGGCCTGTTCCTCCTACACTTGGACATTTACTCATTTCTGTGCCACTGATGATGATGATGCCGATCATTCTATCTTGGATGTATGTCGTCAAGTAATGTTCGTACTGTTTCAAATAACTCCTTAAAGGAATTAACATTGCAATTTTTCTTCATAACTATCTCGTAATTGCAATAATCTGATTGGCTGCGTCAGTTGTGCCTCCAGAATTTCTTCACAGATGCTAGACCACATCTTGACATCAGTTTTGTGAAAAGGCCTGTAGCATCTCATCCTCTTTTATCTCGGCATGTCTGTCAGTCTGTCGTTTTGAAATAATCAAGCACTCTCCTACTCAAACTGTATGATAACATTGACCTTTACGTATCTTGAATGACTGAAAGGGTTTGGTTGTCATAGCATCTCACAGCAGTAAATTAATGCTATTAATATATGAAAAAACAATGGTATTCTCGTAACATCCTGGAAAATATGAAATAATATTGGTTGATGAGTTTAATGGTTATCACTATGGAAAAAAGACAATTACTATCGAAAAAGGACAATTGCTATTGAAAAATGGAAAATGTTGCAAGATTTTTATTTACATCGGGCACTGAACTCCAGGAGCAAGGTGTTGCTGATGGCTTGGAAATAATTTGGCAGTCATATATAAGAATGATGTTGATGCAACCAAAGAGCAAGAAACCACAGAGGTGTTAGCTGGCAAATAATAGAGTAAAAGTCTTGCTGCGTCAAGTCATTCAAATGGATYGAAAGGTGCTTCCATCAAGTGTCAACATCTTATCAGATGAGTCGTATAATCATTCAGATATCCAAAGGAAAACAGTGGAATTTGTGTTATTTTTGTTGTGTTGTTGTTGGTAGTAAGAGCAGTCTTCGCATGACTGTGAAAAGCTCAGTGCCATATGCGTGCCGTGCCGTAACCGCAATGTTTTCTAAAACTTTTAATTGGCTGATAGTTTTCTCACACAATGCGATTGGTCTGGAAAGGTGTGACCCTGTCCGCACCATGTTTGTATCGTGTTTCAGGCATTTGATTAGATGGAGGGTAAATTCTTGTGCAAAGTGATTGGTCTGGCATATGCCTTGCCATGTCAGGACTGTGTTCGTGCCTTGAGGTTTTCACAGTTATACAAAAACTGCTCTGCCTTGGTGATGTTGCAAGAACTAGATCTTGATGTTTAGAATCATGTTGAATGTTGGTAAGACAACTTGACTTTATGGGGTGCCTGTGTTGGTAATGGTAAATTAGCTACTGACACCCTAACAACAACCTCCCAACACCTTACCTACTCACAGCTGACACCATATGGACATCCTACCGATGTCAATTCTGGGATTGCATTCTTTACTTTGGCTATAAATTATACTTGCAAAGATAGATTATGAGAACGAATTTGTGTTGTTCATAATGTCGAGATGTTTAATATATACCTTAATGATGGAACTATGCAATATAAAAGTTATATCAACAAGAATGAGGCGTAGATATTTATTTTCCAGTGTGGTGGCAAGCAGAAAACAGAAGCATTTATTAACAAGTTGTCAATATTATTAATTCATTAGCAATAATAAATTATAAAGCATATATTTGTACTTCAAATCTTAGAGAAACTTTTTCACTTTTTGCTAAATTATCATAAAAAGCGTTGCCATGGTTTAATTTCCATGTAAATGGTGGAAATCATAGGTTATTATTAGCTATTTCGAAAAAAAAAGGTTGGTAAACATACTTTTGTCGTATGTTGTTTACTAAGCTTGAAGTGTATTGTATTGATATATAAATAATGTCAGCACAGCCTTCTTTTACCAAAAACATACCTAATTTCCCTATCAAGGCAATCTGGGAAATGACTTGCTGTATGGACGGGAAGCACACGTTCACTGGACACAAAAGGGTTTGGTATTCAACATGCAACAAAACAATGATTCACCAACCTTCCTTAAAATAGAAGTATAGTCCTCCTCAGAGCGTTTAGAAGTGTTTGGAAAAAGTGAGGCTTCATAGAAATTGTCTGCCTTCATATTTAATGATTTGTTTTAAAACCACTTTTAAAAATATTTTTACAAAATAATTATTTTGGTGTAACTTGTTACCAGCCTCCTTAATTTCTAGAACTCAGAACAGGGCTATCTATATAAGGTTCACTGCAGCAATTCACCGTTCTCATAATGGCTGATGAGCACACGAAAACGAGGTCACCCAGTCATCTGATAAGGCCGAGTGCTCATTCAAAATTAAGGTAGATAGCCTGAATTCAGGTCAAAGGTAAACGCATTTCATGTGCTTTTTCATCTTTTATTGTGTACTAATGAGTGAGTGGCCATGTTTTCATGCACTTGTCTGCCATTACGAGAACGCTGCATGGAATCTCTGTAATGGTTTGCTAGATATTTCTGACCTTTTTTAGAACATAAATCTTTTTAAAAGCTTTGAAAAATTCCTGCCTATTTTACTGCAAATTTCTGATAACACAGTTGATGCTGTCTGAAACGATACAGAAAATATCCTTACCTACCAACTTGGGTAGTTCTTTAAATAAAATAGCAAGAGATTCCTGCAACCTTCTCCCACCCTACCCCCTTTTGGAGGTATGGATGTTTTCTGGAACATTTCCCTCTTACATAGAAAATTGTCTCGAATGCAAGGTTAACGTGGACTTTTTTTTCACTTTTTCTCATTGGAATTTGAGGCATTTCTTTTGTATTTCCATGTCAGCCTTGCATTTAAGACAATTTTAAGAAGAACCCATTGAAAAAGAATAGAGAAAAGGGATAGATGTGTTGACTTAGTTGTTGCATTTTCTTTACTAGTTAAGTAACCAACTTTCATAAAGGAATACATTTTTACCTGATTTATTGATCCTTGGTAAAGTATACACTAATTTCTAAGAAATCAATGAGTATCATTTCAATGAATAAAGTCTTTATATTGCATTTCTACATCTCTCATTAGTATAGTAACTATAATTTTGACCTCAGTTATGATGTTTTTCCATTTCAGGCCACATGTCATTCCCTAAAGAATACAATTATTTGTTTGAGTTGTATCCATATTCATGTGACAGTCTTCTCATGTGCAACCATTAAACAAAGAAATGATACTCTAGGGAATGACACATGGTCTAAAATGGGTAAAACACTATGGTCAAGCTAAGTGGGTCTATTCTTTGTCCATTTATGTCAACAGGACAGTAGCCAAAACAAAAACAAAACACTTGTTTTACAATGCTGTTCTATTCCATTTGAAAGATCAAACACATGTTTATATTAATTTCTAATACTCTCAACATCTATTTTGTGGATTCTGGTTTTACAACTCTGCCCAGGAAGAGGATAGCATCAGATTTGCAGTGTCGAATCAAAAACAAGAATGGGTGGTCAGCAGTAAATGATGGTGGAGGTTGCACCATCATCCTCGTCATCATGACAGCAGCCGTCGCAGCTGCAGCTTCTGTTCCTTCTTCAYTTACATCAACAAATGCCTTATGGAATACCTGAGAGACATAAAGTTTCTCAGGACTTTTGGTTATTCCTGTGAAGTTGGATTTCACTTCGTCAAACATATCACCCATACCCATCAGCTGAAGAATGTTCTTCAACTCAAACTGCCTCGTCATTGAGAACTTCGGGATGGAGACCTCAACTTCAAAGGGGCGTGCCTTGGTGACTGACGTGAGGGCACCTTGAAGGGCTTCGTATGTCAGCTTCTCTTCTAGCTTGGAGAGACCTTCAATTTCATTGGGTAATAGAATAACCATGGACAAATCTCCCCCAGTATACGGCATTTCTAACAGCTGACAATCAAGGTTTTTATCTTGACCAAATTTAAACTTTGACTTCTGAAACATCATTTTGGTTTTCACTTCTTTATTCTGGCTGGTGAAGAAAGTAGAGTCAAAAGTGTGTGCCTTGTCGAATTGCTTCTCCCAAATCCCCTTGAAATAGATGGCATTGACTAAAGCGGCTCTGGTGAGTGTGTTTAAGCTGCCCGACGGAAGCAAATCCTTTATCTTTTCCTTCGTTTTCTCTTCAACCCAAGTGTTAATCATCTTCCGGGCGCCTTCGAAATCCTTTTTGTAGTCGACCAACGCAGTCTCGGCGTCGTAAAAATTCTTGCAACAATCTGTGAACTCTTGAATCACTTGAAAGTCTTGCTGCAAGAAGAGTCGATTGGCTGTGTTTAGCTCATTGCTGGCGGTGTTTGCAGATGTTAGGGCTTCGCTGAACGACTTCATTGACTCGTTTAGTTTTTCAACTTTCATGTTTTTCCAGTGAAAACCCTGGGCTATTTGTTCTGCAGTAATTTCTCGGGCACCATTGTACACCATCCCCAAAGCAATACTCAGGCTGGTCGGGGAGTAGAATAAGTTATCTCCAAGGAACTTTTCCTGGCTTTTTAATACTGCGTAAAGGTCCGCAGCGAATTGATTCACCGCTGTAGCTACTGCACTCATGTTAGTCGCAAGAACAATAAAAAAATCGAGGTTTTTCAACTGGTTCTTTTGCTGTTTGTTTGATTGTGAAATAAATACAATGCTCTTTCGATGTCTATTATTAGCAACATTAAACTGACCAATCAGGATACATACCACAGGACATCCACCATTCAAGAACTCGGTCATTTTATCTATTCCAAATATTGATTCACATATCTTTTTGAATACGTGTAGTTCCGTCATTGTAAGTCCCCTCTATAGGTTCTGTGCAGTTATTCTCTTTAGCACACAGATTTTTTAATCTAAATTGGGCTTTTTTCAATAAAAAGTTATCAAATTGCATAATCGACCAATAAGCTTTGTCCGCGTAATTTTAACTTTGATTTCTGCCTCCTATTTGCTCAGCTTGCCTTATGTTTTCAAAACTTTCTAATTTTTTTAATCATTTAAAAAACGTTAATTATTATTTCCAAAAAGTTACGTCATTGAAAATACACCAATGAGAAGGAATGTTATATATCATATTTCCAGGAACGCCTGTCTATTTTTGCAATCAGTGCAGTTCTTTGTCACAGTAACAACCATTAAGATGAAGCTGTTTTTAACCTTAAAAATCGCATTTATTTTAATACTATCAAAGTCTTTCCTCTGCGAGGGGGAAAAACATGGCCCTGGATCTGAAACTATAAAGGAATTGGTTCACTCAAGTAATGAATTTGCTTTCAAACTCTTGAACTTCCTCGGCGGACAAAACGAAGAGTCCAAGAACGAGAATGTGTTTTTTTCTCCCACTAGTATTTCAATAGCCCTTGCAATGGTGTACCTTGGCGCTAGAAGAAACACAGCTACTCAAATCTCGGATACTTTTGGTTGGAATGAATACGATGGGGAAGAAATCCATACCGCTTTCAAAACTTTACACGAAGCGATACATAATTCAGAAGACGAGGTCTTTGAGCTTAAACTGGCCAATCGAATCTGGGGACATGACAGTTTACAGCCCTTGTACGAGTTTTCTAGTGCTATTAAAGAATTCTACGGATCTGAGATAACGCTAGTAGATTTTGTCAAGGGTTCTGATGAGGTGAGAAAAGATGTGAACGACTGGGTTCACCAACAAACAAATGGAAAAATCCAAGACTTTCTTCCACATGGCGTCTTGAATTCTGCTACAAAATTGGCATTGATTAACGCTATCTACTTCAATGGGGCTTGGAAGAACGAATTTGATAAAGAAAAGACCTTCCACGCACCGTTTTATGCTACAGGGAACCGAGAAAATAAGATAGAAGTCAACATGATGACCAAGAAATCGATGCATAAGTATTACTTTGATCAGGAACATCATTGCCATTTATTGGAGCTGCCTTACAGCGGAGATGAGCTTTCAATGGTTCTTGTACTTCCAGAGGAGCTGGATGGAATATCAAGACTAGAGAAGTCTCTGAGCCAAGAGAACTTAGACAGATGGATGGCGCTCATGGTAAACACAACTGTCTCTGTGTCACTCCCCAGATTCAAGTTGAATCAACGAGTTGACCTTAAAAATGTGTTACCAAAACTTGGGATTAATGATGTTTTTGATGCTAGTAAGGCTGATTTGAGTGGAATTACTGAAAATGGTGGACTATTTGTCTCGAATGTCATTCACAAAGCCCATGTGGATGTAAATGAGAGAGGAACAGAAGCCGCAGCAGCTACAGGAGTCACCATGATGAAAAGATCCTTAGATTTCAATGAAGGTTTCCATGCAGATCACCCGTTTATATTCTTCATTCGTCACCATTTTTCTGGGTCGATTCTTTTCGTTGGTAAACTTATGCAACCCAGTGGGCTTGGTGAGGAACCAAGCGACCTGCCTGAAAGACTTGTGCGAGGTGATGAACTCTAGAAATATAGTTTGAGATAAATTATAGTAATTTGATTTATTTAGGTACTGATAGTTTCATTGACTTTGTAAATGAATTTTCCATACTATTAGCAAAACTTAATGGCTTATTTATAAAATAAATCTTATAATTATGATTAAAAATTTAAAACAAGAGAAAAGGACTCGCTGTATGGACGGGAAGCTCGCGTTCACTGGACGCAAAGTCCAGGTTCTCCACATTGATGCGTCTGAAGTGTGACCTAGGTAACACTTAGATCCTGAATACAAGTCCAATTTCATACAGTGAACTATACCATCCCATTTTCTCTCTTGCGTCGAAGAGAGGATTGCATATAAGTACAGCTACGTGTCGTGAGACTAGACAAGTGCCTTATGAACACTGAGCGATCCTGGAGAGGGGTCGACGAAAGAACAAGCACGCGGTGTGAGTGAGGCCCAAAGGCAAATTTCACATATGCCAAATGAGCAAGACCTATTGTTTGAATTCATTCGATACATGTGAAATTCGATGTTAAAGCTGGACCTGAGAATTTGCATATCAGTATAGAAATATCGTTGTCCCTTGTTACATCCAGATGCCTCTTGAAAGCTTTACAGATTCGATTTTTCATGAAGGGTAGTTCAAAATGAAAAGAAAAAGTCATGGTGCTTATCGATATCTCGAGAGATGTGTTCAATTTACTACATGACAGTTATTTATATTGTTGGCATAGAAACCAGACATCGCGTTTCCCTTTCTTCCCTGCTTGCCTCGCTTTGAGGTACTCGAATATAAAARTCTAACTAACTGGTTTGACCACACGGGTAGACCAAAAATAGGAATATCTGTCTCTTATGGTGAGCTGATCAACTCCGTTTGGATCGAAATCTTTGTGTCCTTTAAACTCGAGGCCTCGTCCAGCAAGATTCCAGGCTAGATCTTTTTTATTATGTAAGTAAAGTTGGCATTTTAAATATTTATGGCAGAAAATAATTTTCATAAATATGTCCAACGGGGATGGTGGCAATGTTCCAGAACTGAATTTTAACATTCCATGATTCAATATTACTGCTATTACTTTTTTCAAGCACACGTGCGAAGAATGGAAAAATAATAATGGGTTAAATGTTCAAAAACGAGCTCGACAGTTTCTTTGTATTTTGTGTTTAGACATTCTTTGTTCATATTAATTGTGACTATTCAAAATTTTTATAACGTTACGTCAAGTCCATTTTAAGTGTTAAGTGAATATTTTATGTTCAATGTCGCGCGACATGGTCTCTGTGTAACGTGTGCACGAATGCGTGACATTACAGTGCAGAGTGTTGGTCCTTGAGAGTGAACGTACCGTTGTCCTGTCGCTAAAAACACTAAAAAAAGTCTAGACCAACAGCATCCTGAGGGTGTCTGCCCTGCTGAGTGACTTTTCAAAGTGCGAACATTTCATTCTTTGGTTTTGACAGCGATATTTGACAGCGATTAGAGATCTGTTGATTTATATAATTCCAGTGACCAGACCTTCACCGATCATTACACTCGGGATAAATTCCTTTGCCATGAATTGGACGGCGAAGAGTTGAAGAAGATGGCACTTTAGAGTGATAAAACTTCTAGATAAATCGGTAAGTAAGGAACTACTTCAAGACAAACCTCAGCTTTATTCCAAACTGGATTTGAATTCGAAAGTCGGTAAATATGATAATATTCATCCTCTAAATTTTCTAGATGAAATATTACGTGTTACAGTTGACAGAGTTAGTGTTCTCACGGTGTAATTATGATACCAAACAAAGCAGTTTATTGCTTTACTACTTCCTTTTATCGAGGTTAAAATATTTCTAAAAAATAGAAACTTAATTCCTTCGCTTCTTGCATTTGATAAAGACAACCGCTTCTAAAAGCATTGACATGTTTTCTATCCGTAGGTAAATAAAAAGTCACTAAAGTTAGTAGACTCGGACGATAATATCGAATGTTTGTGTATAAGTGCCTCTCGTATAAGTTTTATGTACTCCTTTTTCGTATAAAGAAGATTATTTTTCATGCTGTACGATAAAGAATATAGAGAAAATAAACGAAGGAAACGCTGTACGTCTTAATTTAGGTTTACTTTCAACCTCGATTTCGAAAAAAAACTAACTCAACAAGGCCATCCTATCTAAATAGAATCTTCTAAACTCAATAGACCTTGTGAACTTGGTCAAGCAATAAATTTGGCATTAGTACTTAAAAGTTCAACGCCATATAGTTTTTGTCAAACTTTCAAATTGCTCATGTTATATGTTATAAACTGTGAAGCTTTCTTTCCTAATGTAAGATTAAGTATAAAAAGATATAACTAGCTAAAAACTAGTATACACTCCTTTCTACCACTTCTTTCTCTTTTACTCCGACGAAGGACTAGCGTCCGAAACGTCAGTAAGTTTTTTCATCTTTTCACGGTGTATAATTTACCTTTTCATCATTACTGTAAGATTAAGTATAGTTGCTTTAACCTTAATTTTGCTAAACGAAATAGCACATGCTTGTGAATATTCAAATCAACTACTGTATTTTTGAGTCGCCATGCTGTTTTCGTAGGAATAAAATCCCTAAAATCAAGCTAAAGTAAATATAAAATGAGATATTGAGTTCGTTCTCGTTTACACTCTCTTAACTCTAATTAACTTTCTTTCTGTTATCTTTAACCTCCTCAACCCCTTTGAATTTTAAACAAAAGTTACTTGAAAACATATCGGGTTTCTAGAGTGAGAATATGTTGGCCGGAAGGATGTAAAGTTCCTACGAATATTGCAACACGATCCAGTTTATCAATATTGTTGTGTCAAGTTTTCCTTCATAGCAGCAGAACTATAAAAATATTTTGACTCAAAGTTGAAGTTTTTACAGGCACAAAGATAAGTACGCCGAGTATTGTGCTGGAGATCCTGGTTCTTGACACTTTCTAAGTATATTTTTGTTTTTCCTAAGTTTTTGTTAACTGAAGCAGTTGTGCTTTGGTGTAAAGAAAAAGCTTACATATCTTGAAGAAAACTACAAAGCAAGTTTATTGATTATGAACTGGTAAAAGGGCACAAGTTTGTTATAATTCATTTAGAGTTTGGAGAACTGAACTCTTTGGAGTACAAACTTGCGTTCATTAATTAAAGTAATGTTGATCCTTTTAGCGTTGTTGATCCAACATTGTTGTCTTATATCCAACTCGCTGATACAAGTTCTTGCGCTTAACTTTGTCTTGGCAGTGARTAACGAAAAGGTTTAGCCCGGCGCTTTCATGAGATTTAGTTAACTATCTTTTTCCATGCTTTCTTTCGTTCTCAGTATATTCAAAGATTTCGTAAGCACGTGAGGCGCTTTGCCTATTGGGATTCAGTTTTTCATAGCTGGTATTTTTCATAATTTCTTTTCTCTATTCTCTACATTGCGCACGGTTGCAGACAATCGATATTGCATACAATAAGCCATGCCACACGACGCAACTTTTGTTGCACCCAATCAGTGTTGCACGTACCGCGTGTTGTGTATTTTTGATATATAGGATTTGTTGCTATACTGAGACCGTGATTTTCAAATGGCTTCCTTTCGTGACTTCAAGATATTAGGTGAATACTTTACATATTGCTATGCTCCACTGCTAGACTGGTTGGAACCAAGTAGTCGATTTATAATGACAGTCGGCTTAAAAATCGTTTAATATTGGACGACGAGGTTCGTCAGCTAGAGAGAGGTTACCCCGTTTCTAACGTTTCATCTCTTCTCTTCTCTTCTCTTCTCTTCTCTTCTCTTCTCTTCTCTTCTCTTCTCTTCTAAATATACTTTATGCTGCTAAAAATACCAACAAC